TAAATTAGCTCTATGTTGTGTTGCTTGCGTTGATGAATGCAGGAATGTAAATGCATGAGCTAACCATTTTTGTCTAAACTGTGAAGCAGCATTATATATGCATCATGTGCATGATTTTTCCATATATGGCATTAGTGGAAATATGCTTTTAGAGACTTTTTATGTTTTGCTGTGTAAAAATCACACGCACCTAGTGTGATTTAGTAAATCACCCCCTTAGATACAGGAAAAAACAAACTTACAATTAGCAAATTATTGACTTCTTGCTGTCTCAGCATCCACCGTAGCATTTGATTTCTTTAACTTGAATTTCCATATGTGTTGTTAGAAATTTGTCACATTATATGCATTATAATGAATCAAACTTGTTTTGATAATTATTCCAGGTATAGAGCAGACTATACAAGTGTTAAAATAAATTACATAAAGCAGAAATCTATACATAATTTAATATTCTGGTGGCACGGAACAAGAACCTATGCCCTGACAAACCTTCAATACTATACCTGACCCTGGTGAAAGGTAACCATTTACCATTATCCTAAATCTAGGCTATGCAATGAAGATGATGAATTTAAAATAGTGTAATGGCAAAGCAGTAATAGAATAATATGGGATTCTTAGTCTTGGTTTAATCTAAAGTACAAGATTTAAAACAATAGTACACTGTAATAAAAAAAATCTCCACTGGCATTATTACTAGAACTGCTGATACAGCAAACATGAGCACAACTCATGGCATATTGGTTGGCATTTTGATTTAGTTTTTGTGGAATTGCAATGTTTCGTTTTTAGGGATGCTATGTTCTGCAGGAAAGACCAGTTAATTCTAGCAAGCTTCCCAACACCTTAACCTATTATCAAAGAAGATGTCGTTCGCGAAGCAAACTTTCGTCTTCTTTTGGACGAAGTTTTTATTGCTGTATGTGTCACCAAGACAGTGAGGGGAAATCTAGGCTTTTAGAGTTGTCCCCAGAACAAGAGGTGAGGAGAATTGCAGTGGGAACACTTGGTTGCAGTTACACTTTAAGGATAATGACGATAATGTGTATTTCTACATGCAGTTCTAGATTTTATAGTGCATGCTAAACATTGCTAAATGTACTCAGGCAATTTTGTGTCACTTATGGTGAATTCATATAGACATGGAGAGTAATCTTCTGGACTACGACCTTTGAGACCTTCCTGTAACCATTAATATTTGCCTTTTCCCCAGATGCTGTATTATGCGGGAGGTGGAGTGATAAGGTACCTCAAAGCGACACTGATCTCAGGAGATAAATCTTAAAAATGCATTCAAGTACCTTAACTATTAACAAAACTCTGTATTTGTGTATCACTCGGCTGCAAATCCTCAAATCATTTCTGAATTGGTGCTGACACTGTCCTTCCTTCTAGAGGGGGGCTACTTTTGTTCCCCATGGTCTCTGTGTGTTGTAAAAGAAGCCACCACACCAATCTTACTGGACTACAATATCATGTTTAGTTTACGAATTTGCATTGAAATTGTAGTCCATCACAGGAGTGAGCTTCGAGCTGCGGCTGCTTTACAACACACACAGGGACCATGGGGAACAAAAGTAGCCACCCTCCAGAAGGAAGGTATTTGAATGCATTTTTAAGACTTCTCCTGACTTTAGTGTCATTTTAATGTTAACCCCTTCGTGACTGACGACGTACAGTGTACGTCGCCAGCATCGGGGCTGTTTAAACAGACTCCCGGCGACTTTTGCCGCCGGGACTCTGTTTAAACTTGTAGAGCCGACTGTCGGCTTTACAACAGAAGCGATCCTGGCGACTTACCTGTCGCCAGATCGCTTCTGCGTCCCACACGCAATCTGTAAACTGGGCATGTTGGGTATCGTTTTACTCGTTGTAACCTCATCTTTTATATTTCATTTAAAAAATGGGTAATTTGTTGTGTTTTGGGGCATTTAATTAAATTTGTCACTAAATTTTGGGGTTTAATAAGGAGTTGCGCTAATATTGCGCAACATAAAAATTTTCAACTACCACCATTTTATTCTATAGGGTCTTGGCATTCAGAAAATATATAATGTTGGGGGGTTTTACGTCATTTTCAGGCCTAAAATGTGGAATATAACATGGGTGCAAAAATTGAAAAAAGGGCCTCAGTCATGAAGGGGTTAAATAATGTTTTGCTAACAGAATGTCATGTTGTCTTACAGTATGAATTCTTCAGAACCTTGCTTTTTTTTTTTAAAGGAATCTAAACGGTCACCAGTCCTTGGCATAGTTCTGTTGGTGGAGTTTGCGCGAGGACCAATTGGTAACATTGTAGTGCTCTGGGTCTTCTGCAACCCTTCTTGGAAAATCAGCACCTTGTACCTCTTTATTGTATCCATTGCAGATATCATGCTTATTGCCTGCCTCCCTTTTAGAGCGGATTATTTTCTCTATGGTAAAAACTGAAATTTTGGAGACCTACCCTGCAGGTTTATGTTTTTCATATTATCCCTCAGCAGAACAGGAATCATTTTCTTCTTTTTAGAGTGACCGCTGTGGTGGTAAAACAGATATTTCATGATTGTCCATCCTCGCTTCTGTTGGCAGTCCCTCCTGTTACTTAATACGAAGTAAATAAAAGAGAAATAGTCGGTGATATGATAAAAGCCCACAGTGAATGTGACAACCAGGAATGTCACATTCACTGTCGGCTTTTATCATATCACCGACTATTTATCTTTAACCCCTTCATGACTGAGCTTGTTTTTAGTTTCTGTTCGTAAATGACTGACACACTTTTGACATTTTTGCTGTGTGATTCTTCCACGTCAGTAATATACTTTCTTACAAAGTGCACCCACACATATTATATATTGTTTTTTAGAGGACAGATAGGTCTACATATTTATATCACATATGTGCGTCTAACGCCTCACTTAGGACAAATAAAATATAAAAAAAGAGGAAAAAACCGTTTAAAAAAAACACTTTTTTCCCAGTTTTGATTTGTAGTATTTTTTTTACAAAACCAGCACAGCTAAAAAAATGCAATAAATACATTCATTTATTTGTCCCTTATTTTATTTTATTTTTTACACATTTTTTTATTTTTTTTACACTTTTCACAATTTTTTTTTTTTTTTACACTTTTCACTTTTTTTTTAAACTTAAAAATGTTATTTTATTTATTTAATTATATCAAGCAGATTTTGTGAATTAATCTCACTGTTACTGCATGATAAATTAATACATTTTTGGTTATTATCAGGCTGCTTCAAACTTCAGAACAGCCGATAATAAGTTAGTGACACTGATCCTGCAGCAGTTCAGGATTCAGCTGTTACTAAATGTTTTCTGATTGTTGCAACAACGATCAGCAAACAAACATTCTTCTTCCAGGAATAGATACATTGTAGGAATAGACACATTTTGTATCTATTCAGAAAAAAAAAAAAAAAAGCCAGTATAGCTTGAGAGAGATATCTCTCGATCTATACGAGCTGTCAGAATGCCGGCAAAAGCCGGCATCTGTGTCCGCTTTGCTTTGACTCTCAGACACCCGATATTAAGGTATCGGGTGTCTGAAAAAGGTTAACCCTTTCATTAATGAATGCCTCTGTAGTAAGGGCATCCATTAATGAATGTTAAAAGCTGATTCTCAGCGATTAACAGCCCTCTAAAGCAGCAAATAACTCGTCACGTACAGTGTACGTGACAAGTCATTTGGTCCCTTTGTGGCTGGACGTACAGTGTACGTCTACCGTCACGAAGGGGTTAATTTACTTCGTATTAAGTAACAGGAGAGACTGCCAACAGAACCTTCTGTGAAAGCTTTAACTTGACCTGGGATAAAAGCTTTATAATCAGCTGGCATTATATGTTTTTTTCATCCAACTCATCATTCCCTTCAATATTATATTGCTCTGCACAGTCTGCATGGTAAGACAGCTGTCACGCTGCAGGGATAACCATGGGACTATAAAAAGAACCATTAAATGCATGACATTTGTTGCTTTTGTTTTCATCTTTTGTTTCTACATTACAGTTTCTACTATCATTGTTGTCATATCCAAACATTTAGCAATGTGCAGGTTATTTGACACATCAAGCCTTGTGTTTGCAGCATCTCTCTCATTAACTTATTTTAACAGTTAAACCCATTGGCCATTTACATTTCAAGTCTTCGCTTTCAAAAAGCATTAAACAGCACTTGTAATTGCACAGAAAAAAAGGCTCTATGAAAACAGATAATGCCACGAAAACAAGTCACAAGCAAGTATTGAATAACACTTCTGTGTTTCTCATGTTGCTAAGATGGCATCTTCAGGGCCAATAGAAACATGAGTAATTTGTTGTCTTTATATTAGATATTATCTCTTCTATTACAAAAAAAAATTGACAATACCCACAAACTAACATTCATAACAGAGTTAGACACCCTTGTAGTTCTAGCAACAAGAGCAGCAGTTTTAGGAGAGTTTATTAAGTTTTGCTGTGCAACCAGGAAGGAGGAGAATAGTGGTGGGGGGGTGCAGTATGTATGTATGCAAGCTACATTTTGAAGGCCAGCAAGATTTGTGTTTGCAAGACTTTTATCCTCAGTTTTGTATAAAGTAACCAGAAACGGTAAAATGGAGGATTGCAACTACCTGCTAGATATAAATGGATGAGATACTTTTGAAAACCATTCTTTATTTAAACAGATTTTAGATAGCAACAACAAATAAAAGACTTATTTCAAATATACTTTATTTTATACACAGGAATAATAAAATAAATTGTGCTACTTGTTAGACAAGCAATTCTAGTAAATGAGGTACAAAGTGATTACAAACAAGGCAAGAAAAGCTACAGAAAAGCTTACCACACCATCTATCCATGGGGAATGCAAATAAAAGTACAAGCAGGTGTACTAAAACCTAGGAATAACAAACTTCATATTAAGTTATGTTTTCATTTTTTTTTCCTGCAGACTGAAAGCTATAGAAACAATCTCCTGGCTCAATTGTTATCCTTATTGAAATCACATGATTTTAAGAAGCTTGGTCGCTTAGAAAGCTCTGTGAAAAGAAAAAAAAAAAAGTTATTGTAAATTTACCACTTCAATCCATAGCATATCGGCCAATAACAAATGCAATTAGAACTACTTCATTAGAAAGTAAGCATAGGTATTAACTGTGCAGCAAACACATTAACTGTCATAAAATACCTTCACAATGTCCAGGGATGTCGCATCTCTTGAGTAAGATTTTCCACGGCGACTTAGACATTCTATTACAAGTTCAGCAGCATCATCTAAACTACAAAAATAAATAAAAACAAATGAAAAATACTTAAAAGCCTTAAACAACAATATACTTTTCATGCTCCATGTAGACTTTTCAGGAAAGCTCCAAACACTCTTGACTATACGTCATTACAGGAGAACTATGAGGTGAGTGCTTTTCACTCACCTCATAGTTCACGGTCTCCCTCTCCGCTGTCAGAATGCGTTAGTGTTGTATATTACATCACTTCCGCATTCTAGTGTCACTCTCCAGCTTCAGATGCTGGAGAGAAGCTGATGAAGCAGATCTCTGCTTCATCAGCTTCTTCAGGGGGGTCCTAGGTGACATTAGGGGTCTTGGAGGCCCCCTGATGTCTCCATAAAGAGGACCTGTCACCTCTTTTGCTATCACATAAGGATACAAAAATGTAGTTTCCCCCCCAATTTTTTTAAAGTTACACAAAAAAAGAATAAAAAAAATTTTTTTTTTTTTAAAGTCCCCACACCTACAGACACACATGTAAACATGCGTCAGGTGCGCATACCTGCGAAAACGACGATTGCACCCATTACGCCGCACATGTTACATATCGCCGCGAACGTCGCAGTGAGAGCAATAGTTCTAGGGCCATCAATCACTGATACCACTAAACTGATGAGCGGTAAAAGCTTTTAAAGCGTCGCCTATGGCCAATTTTGGGTATGCTAGTTTTTTGCGATTTTGCGAGTGCGCGCAATTTTTATGCTTGACATGTTTGGTGTCTATTTACCCGACGTGACCCCATCTTTTATATTTTACCAAAAAAGTGGGTAATATTAGTTGTTTTATAGCATAATGTAAAAAAAAACTTTTTTCTCAAAATTTTCAGTAATTTCTCCTGAATATAGTAAAAAATAAAACCCGTAGTGGTGATTAAATACCACCAAAATAAAGCTCTATCTGTCCCCAAAAAATTGTATAAAATTCATTTCAGTACAGCGTTGCGTGACGGAATAAATGTCAAAGTACCGCAGCGCTGAATACTGAAAAATGGCCTGGCCAGGTAGGGGATCTAAACACCTGGTCTTCAAGCAGTTAAGAAAGGACAAAGCAGGATCAACAGAAGGAGAAGCCACTTCTTATTAAAAGGACTCCTCAAACTTTTATTGGCTTGCCAAACGCCTGGAAGGTGTAACCAGTTTATCAGTTTCCAATCTATGTACAGGATGTCTGAGAATAGCAAGGCATGTGAAAAGTTTTACTAGTCTCAGGGATCTTTGATAGGTAGCAGCACCAGTAGAAGCTACAGGCTTCTCCTCCATTTTTAAGTTGGCATGCACTGCATCAACAAGAAACGAAATGGCCTGCCTGCAAATCCTCAGGGACAGCATAACCCGTCAAGGATTTTTGAGACTATTTGTCAGATAGAACCTCCACAGCCGAAGGCTCAGAACCCTCTAAGGATGCAGGTAGGTCAGATGATTCTGTAGGAGAAGGCATAGGAGGTACACTTACAGCCTCTGTGGTCAGAGTTAGCAATCAAAATTGTAATCTGGCCCATGAAATCTGTGGTTAATCCTCCTGGGTTAAAACCAAGAAGGGGCCACAACTGAGAGAGCCAAGCAAGACTGAGAAATGCAGGGAACAACTTCCCAGACTATTGATGTTAGGCCATTGAGAGGGAACACTGCAGGCAGCTCCAGAACTCAGAGCATTGTGAGCCAGAGGGACCTGATACAGGAGGACTGCTCCCCATGTGTTTGGGATACAGCACTGCAACAAACACATCTCAGTTTAAATACAAGGTAAAACCTTGGGTATTCATGAACCAGCTGCTGAAAACAGGAGTGATTCTAATGGTTGGGGGTGTCCAGGTCACTGTAGGTGGCAGCAAGGACTACCTGAAGTGAAACCACATGTCTTATGTTAAGGAGTAGTGGTGGAGAGGTTCCGCTTTTCTAGCCTGGGAACTGATGCACTTTAAGGTAACCTCTAATCATCCATTTTCCATCATGTGCTCTGAATTGCCAGAATTTGTAACAGTTAGGAAAAGATCCTCACTAATCTGAAAAGATCCTCACTAATCTGAATAAGTAAATATGAATACATCTTCCAGAAACCATGACAAAAAAGCCCCTCCCTATAAAAATTTTAAATAGGGTAACTCTCACGATACAAGTATGCCTTCCATGTGATGGTAGACCTTGTAGGAAGAAGACTTCCTGACTTAATAATGTGTGAATAAACAATTTGGAGATACTCCTGTCTCTCAAAACCTGGGCTTCAATAGCTATGCTGTTAAAGCCAGCTACTGGGAAGCATGGTGAACCAGTCCATGAGGCAGGATATTCTGATGATCCAAAAGTGTTCACGGAGCATCTGCAGGGAGTCTGATTAGGTCAGAACACCAAATCCACCTGGGTCAATGCGGAGCTATGAGGATTGCCCTCTATCTCAATCCTTTGGAGCAGATGAGGGATTTCATGAGACGAAAAGGCATAGATCAGGCGGTACTGGTCCCATAGAGTGAAAACAACTTTCACCAACACTGACATTTTGGGGCTTCACAGGACCCCTTTCTCAAGCCAATAGACAGGTCTGATGTCTGGTCTTGGTCTGACGTCTGTCACCTTGAGGAAGAGTTCCTGCGAGGCCCAGAAATTTCAGAGGGTGTTTGTGTTATGCTTTCTGTCATGACCTCAATAAATTCTTGAAAGTTTTGCATGCTGTCAGCAGTGCTGACTTTTTTGTTTTTAAAGCTAAAATACGGTACCACCGAGAGTGGTGCACTCCCATACAGAGGCATTCAGGGTCAGGTGCAGGATGAATTTGTCTGCTGTTGATGAACTTTTATGTTAGGGGGTCCAGATTCAGGGCCCCCCACTTGTGTACTGGTCCTGAAAAGGTGTAGGGCCTATTCCTCCAAATCTAGGAATTGCCGGCAAAGGAGGTGTGCCCGAAAGTTGTCCACAACTTGAATGTAAACTGTAGACAAGGCTGGAACATTAAGTTCTGACAGAACAGAACCCTTTTTACTTCTATTGCAGTGGAAAGTTGCAGTGCGGTTCCTCCAACATAGGTGATGTACAGTATGTTACCGTTGTGGTGTTGTCCAACTGGATCCTGATCAGATGACCAACCCTCCAGTGAGGATGCCCAGCATTATAGGGACAACCAAATAGCTCAGAGCTTCAGAATATTGATTGAGAGACAGGATTCTTCCGGTGTCCAAGTCCTCTGCACCCTTAAGTTGTCTAGAACTGGCATCCACTGTAAGGATGTTCTAATATACAGTATCTGAAAGAAGGGTTTCTGCAACTGGAGTCCTAAGCCACCAGGCCAGAGACATCATGGTCCTTGGTGTCAGGCGAATTGGTTTGTTCAGTGACTGAACTAATTTGTCCCAGGATGACAGTTCCTTGAGTTGTAATGTTCTGCGGTGGAACTGGGCAAATGGGACTGCCTCAAATAAGGCTAACATCAGCCCATGGACTCTCATGCAAGCGAAGAGTTGGCTAACTCTTGGAAAAAGAATTCAGAATCTAGGAGTGCAGTTAGAAGTTTCTCTTGGGGAAAATAAACTCTAGCTTGAACTGTGTCTAGTAAAAGATCTATACAGTCCAAGCAATGGGTTGGCTCCAATGCAGACTTCTGAAGGTCCAGGATCAAAGCAAACCTTTCCATGATTTTAAATTGTCCTTGCCACATTGTTGACCAGAACCTATGGAGAGTGTTCCAACAGGAGGTTGCCAGATATCCCACAATGGGGATACCCTGGGAGCGTAGCCAGGCTAGTACAGGGTCCTGAATCTTGGTGAACATTTAACCCCTTCATGACTGAGGCCCTTTTTTCATTTTTTGCACCCATGTATAGGGACAGAGGAAAAGGTGAATAGCAGGGCCACAGCAAAGTGAATGAAGCGCTGATGCACTGGAGAAATGGGGGCATGCAAGTATATGTCCTTGATGTCCACAGAGGCTACAAAGTCTCCCTGATGGCGGGGGGGTTTGACAGATGTGGTGGAAAAAGGCAGATGAAACAGGCAGGTTAGAAGACACGCAGATGCCACAGGCAGGTTAGAAAACACGAATCAGGGAGGGGGTAGTGAGCGGAACTCTAGCTTGCAGGCCCTGGAAACGACATCCTGTACCCAGGCATGTGCCTGTCAAGGTGTCCAAAAAGGCTCACAGACATCCCTCCAATTTAGAAAGCAGGAGCATCTCCTTGTGCCAAAGGATTTGTTAGTGGGATTGATGGATTTGGAGGCCAAGGTTTACGGTTGAACTGGGTACTTGGTTTGGGTCTGGCTTTAGAGGTTGAGGTCTGGGAGTAACGAAAGGAACTCTTCTTGGCTTCACAGAGGGGGGTGAGTTTTTCCTGACTGAGGTCTAGACTTCTACTGGGGCAGTACTCTTGTCCCCAGTGACATTCTTGATGAGGCTGTCCAAGGCACATCCACAGAGATGTCCCACCAAAGGCCAGTGGAAGGTCAGAAAATGATTCTGCAGGGAAAAGCATAGAAGATTGCTTATGGCTTCTACAGTCAGTCAGAAATCAAGGTTGCTATTTGACCCTTAAAATCATGCAGAACTGCAGTGAAATCCTGGGGAGGTGGCCACAACTAATGGAGCTAAGGAGACTGTGCGGTCAAACAGATGGCAACATTCCAGGCTCACAGTGTCAGTCTCTTGGGTGGGTGCACTGCAGGCAGTACCAACGCGGTTATTGGAGTGCAAGCTTGAAAAATCCGTTACCGTGAGACTACTCCCCGTGTATCTGGGATTAGAGAGGGATAATGAAGCCTAAAAGGTACAAAGCAAGGCTTTGTATTACTTGCGATAAGGAGCAGTGACGGGAAAGCGTTACCTAACGCTGAATGGCAGATTGCGGCGTGTGCCACATTCTACCTAAGGAAATCCATCAGCACTTACTATCAGTGCTAATCCTTTCTGTGGTTAACAAATGGAAAAAATAGGGTAATAGTGCCCAATTATGTTTTTTCGCAAGGTAGCTCCGGATGCTCGGTCTAAATCACTTACTTACAAAGTGGATCTTTAGAGACTGGGTCACTTCAGAGGCTGTGCCACAGCTCTGGACCCAGACAGTGCTCAGCCAGTAACACAGTACACTTAAGTTTTGGAAGATGCCACAGTACAGAGCCCAGTGCCTCAAAGTCACATTGCAGGCTTGACCCACAATTGCCCAATCCAGCAGGGTCCAGGTATGGCCTTCAAAGCTATTGAGGATATACCAGTCCGGATAGTTGGGCATATAGGATAGGTCAAGCAGCTTGCAGGAGAATCTTGATTGGGGGGGAGGCCTGAATGATGGAAAAAAAAAAGTAAGCTTTTCTCAGAGAAGAGACATCCATCCTCCTAAGGCAAAAATTGGAAAAGCACGCTGGGAGTGATAACAGGCCAGTGTCCAAATCCTCCTGTAGGCAGCAGTACAATTGTTTCTAAATTCTGTGTCTCAATGAGTGAGAAAGTAATGTATTTTACTATAGGAGAGATCTTTTCATGCTTGCAGTTTCTTACATTACAGTAATTTAGCAATTTACCAGTTCTTTTTCAGCAGATAATCTGCCAGTTCTTTTAATCTATTAGAATCGATTGCCTCAGTCTTGAGCACGTTGAAACATTTTGTTTTCACAAACTTTTCAAGCTGTCCCTTCTTAATCACACTGTCCAAAATCAAATCCTTTATCTGCAACACAAGAAACCAAAAATTAATATTTTATCTGCAACACAAGAAACCATCAAAACATTTGTGGTTAAGATTCCATTGAAAACATGTTTACTTAATGTATGAACAGATAATATTCACAGTATAGGATAGAATCAGTAAAAAATAAGTGTGCTTTTAAATATGTTTTGAAGAATACATGAACATTAAGTGTCCCATACTTAAGTTGGCAAAAGGCAGTACAGACTATTTACATTAAATGCTTATTTCTACCGGAGGCACATGGGCAGATTGTGGACTTTAAAATTATACTGGCCCAACATTCCCCATTTAGACTCCTTCTAAAAATGGCACTTGGTGTTGTTTTTTTCTGTGTCTGCATGACTGTGGTAGGGGGATTCATGTATAATCTACTTTTAGTGTAAAGACTGATGTTAAGGTCTAAAGTGTATGTACACCCTGGCAATGAACTTCACTTATTTGCTCCCTTTTGGTTTGTCAAATATACCATTGAAATTGTTTTGTTATATCTTTTCAATAAGTGCAAAAATACTTTTTTTGATCCTGACAGACATCTAGTGACCTGATAACTTCCTGGGCTGACTGTTATCAGTTATATAGTACCCAGTTATCGCTATGAATTACAGAATTTCCCATCCGTTATGGATAAGAGGAGAGAGGGAGGTGTTCTGCAGTCCTAAAACACTGTATTAAGATTAAAGCACTGCTCCTACATACAGTAGATACCGTACAGTAAAGTATGGTCACCCTAGGACAGGAAGTGTGTTAATCACCAAATAAAAAACTAACAAAAAAAAAGGAAACTAGTGCAGCCACCATATCTAAGGCACTGGTAAGTTACAATATAATAGTATTTTTGTTCTTACTGTAATATCTGTGTCTTGGCGTTCATTAGGGGACACAGGAATATTCTGATACACTAGGGTTATACTACTGCCTACAGAAGAATAGCAACACTGACAAAAAAGCAGTTGGTCAGCCAAATATAACCCTTCCCACTCACATCATACTTCAGTGTTATAGAAAATCAGTATTATGAGTAGATCAGAACGCAGGGGTGGGACCAATGTCCCTTAACCCCTTCGTGACTGACTACGTACAGTGTACGTCGCCAGCATCGGGGCTGTTTAAACAGACTCCTGGCGGCTATTGCCACCGGGACTCTGTTTAAACTTGTAAAACCGACTGTCGGGTTTACAACAAAAGCGATTCTGGCGACTTACTTGTCGCCAGATCGCTTCTGTGTCCCGAAGAAGGGGATGGGCTCCTGCAGCCCAGCTATAAGCTATTGAAGTGCGATCTGCACTTCCAATAGCCTTTTTGCTAGTGTAAAGGTGACACTGGGGGTCTTTTGGACCCCCAGCATCACCTTAAAGAGTACCTGTCACCACCATCTGCTATCACATGGGGGGGGCTTGTAAGCCCCCCTATGTGATAGCAGTCAAAGTAAAGTAAAAAAAACAAAAACGTTTTTTTACATTCAAATAAATCTAATAATAATAAAAAAACTTTTTTAAAAGTACCACGTGTCGGGTGCGCCTACGTATGAAAACGACAAACGCGCTACACATGTTGGGTATCGCTGCGCACGCCGGAGTGAGAGCAATAATTCTAGGGGCAGTATTTTGGGCTTATCTCTAAATTGATTACCCGTGGGGCTTTTAAAGCGTCTTCTATGGACTTTTTGGGGTACTGCAGTTATTCGCCGTTTTACGGACACACGCAATTTGTAAACTGGGCATGTTGGGTATCGTTTTACTCGTTGTAACCTCATCTTTTATATTCATTTAAAAAATGGGTATTTTATTGTGTTCTGGGGCATTTAATTAAATTATCCACTAAATTTTGGGGTTTAATAAGGAGTTGCGCTAATATTGCGCTACATAAAAATTTGCAACTACCACCATTTTATTCTATAGGGTCTTGGCATTCAGAAAATATATAATGTTTGTGGGTTTTAACTAATTTTCAGGCCTAAAATGTGGAATATAACATGGGTGCAAAAAATGGAAAAAAGGCCTCAGTCATGAAGGGGTTGATGAACTCCAAGAAACAGATTTATGCTAAGCACAAAAATCCTGGTTGCTTCACTGTTCATTAAAGGGCACACAGTTCAATTATTCTGATACGAATGGGATGTCCAAAAAACAGTCCCACCTAACAATGGCAATTAAACTGCCTGAAGGTGAAAGAGGTGCCTGGAGGACCATATACCTGAAGATGAGGCCTGAACATCTACTCAGTAAAAGTTAGCGAATTTATGAACCAGATGGCACCATTGCAAATCTGGGAAACAGGCGCCTGATGCTTAAAAGCCCAGGAATCAAGTGGTAGGTAAGTGAGCAGGCAGGGAAAAGCATAGCCACAGTTGCTCAATGCCAGGGGGTTGCAAGGGTTAACTTGTTGTCATGCTGGTTCTGTGAAGGTGTGGATGTTTTGCTACCTTCCTGGGATTGCAAATGGAGATGTGCCCAAGGTGTCACAGAATTGTGTGAGATCCTCTGGGTACCGAAGGATGAAAGCATTCCTGTTTGTAGGTAATAGGACTTGCTAGGAAGCACTGCAAAGCGTAGTGCTTGCAGGAGAGTAAGGCGATCCTTTTGCACGTATGAGATTTGGAAAGATTTGGACCTTGGTGCAGTCAAAGTCGAAGGTCAAAAAGGCTTTTGTTCCTCCATCAAACGTCTATGATTTTGTAGCCTTACTTTGACCACAAGGAAGTCTACAACCACAAACCTATTTTCCTACTTTTACCACCAATGTACAGAAATAAATCATCTGCAAAGAGGCTCAGCTTGTGGGTGGTGTCCCCAACTGTTATGCCTTGTATGGAATCATTTGCTCACAGGCCACTGACCAGGTGCTTCATTGCCAAGATGAATATGTACAGGGATAATGGACAATGCTGTTGGATATTGTTATGGCATTAGAGATAATCTTGGTGGTGGGAGAAGAGTATAAGGCCATTATTTTGTTAATGAGGCAGCAGGTAAGCCTATTTTACTAGAGTGGCATGTAAAAATGCCCCAAACCAGGCAATCAAATGCCTTTTCCACATCTAGACATGGGGTCACTTAAATGTGTGGGCATTATCTATAAGGGAGATAATATTTATCCTGTGACTGTGTAAAGAAAGGTCAAGCGTCCAAAATGACCCTGAAAGGTAGTTTAATATGGGTCTTAATACTTGTTACCATATTCATATACTTGCTGCAAGGTACAGTCCCTATAATGTTAGTAAGACTGTTAAAATTAGTTTATGCAGTTCAGCTTGTTTATTTTGAAGTCAAGGAAAGATAGTTGGGTCATTGGTTCGTTTGTGAAGGGCCTCTAAAGCTTGCAAACTGTGGAACAAGCACACGATAATCTTCCAAAGAAATTCAAACTTTATTCCACATGCATCTGTACAAAGCACAACCGCTGACGCGTTTCTGCCTTACACAGCCTTAGTCATAGCTGGTTGTGAACTAACACTGGTTGTGGTGTTTGTTCACAACTTGCTATGACTAAGGTTGTGTAAGGCAAGAAGGCCGTCAGAGGGTTGTACTTTGTACAGATGCATGTGGAATAAAGTTTGAATTTCTTTGGAAGATTATTGTGTGCTGGTTCGACAGTTTTTGAGCCTATTACTGCGAAGAGAGTACTAATCACATTCAAAGTTTGTAAAGAACATGACGGGTTTAAAACTTTATTTACAACCCAGACTCTGTTTTAGGTTTTCACAAGATCAAAAGGAGGGAAATGAAAGAGAAATCCACTATAACGGATTCATATGACGCAGTTACCCCTCCTTTCTTAGACATTTAGGTTGCAACTTCAAGATATAGAGTTAGAGCTATATCATCCCATTTGCTAGTTCTGCATAAAATCATACACGACCCCCTTTTCTTATATTTATAAAAACTGAATGCGCCGCAATAAACATCAGAACAAATACTTCTGACAGAACTCTGTGTTGCTTCACTTCTGTTTTCTGCAATTGCATATTTAAATCAGTGTTTCAACCAGAAATATCCATGACAGTTACATTGTTTTCTGGGAACAACAGAACCAGTTCCTCATGTTATGGACAACAGGAGAGGGATGGGTATCTGCAGTCTTGTTTTTGTTGGCCTGACCCAGAAAGGTCAAACTCAAATGGTCTATAAAATTATGACCCCCCCCCCCTCACAAAAAACAAACTGCTGGTGCAGAAGGGGTTAACTGACAGAGGATACCAGGTCACTGTTAGCTGCAGCACAGAGCAAGAGAGGAGCTTTACCTCACACAGTGCCAGAGAGTGGAAACAGAGTAAGGGGAGTGTTTATGTTTTGAGTGACACAGCTCCTATTGCATAGCACAGTAAACTCTATGTGCAGGCTGTGGAACAGAGTGGGTGTGACGATAATGAGGTCTGGGCACCCCAATATTAATTAGGAAATCCCATCTTTCCCTCATTTTGCTAAAATTCATCATTGCTAGTTCAAATTACATCAGACTGCACTTACACAGATGTGTTTAATTTTGTTTAAGCCATCTAAAAAATCCAAAGCATCATATATCAGGAGAGAGACCAGGCCTCTTTGATGGTCCATAGTCCATATCATGAGCAGTAATTACTGGAGTTAGGGTCCGCAATAAAACTGACTTTCTCATTACGGTTTTATCTAGTCAGAATCCCCAATCCATTCCCACTAGACAGCTTAGCTAATCTAAAGATCTCGGGCCAGATATTGATCTTTTATTGCCGGACATCGTTGTGACGGACTGAACCGTCACTGGGGCTGCTGGAGGAGCCTGAGGGCTAGCCTCCTTCCTACGGACCAGAACTATGGAGACCCCCCCCTCAGACCTCTTGGGGTTACATGGAACAATTCTACTAGGATACATGTGGAGTGGATATACTGCATGTCTTCCCCGACATTACAGACACACATCACTGTGTTCATTATAGGCAGCAGGCTGTCTGGAGTGACCATTGTTTGCAATTATGGGATTAAGCTTCTCTCTAATTAAGGACATTCATCTCAAAGAGTGTCTGGGCTTAAAAGACTTCTAATGCGGCACCTAGCTGTCTGGGGGAGGGGACACACTGAACTCTAATCTGATCCTGTCAGGTATAAACTCTGTGTGCTTCCTTCAATAAAGCAGATCTTAGTTTCCACCTCAACATTGGTGTTGTCTAATGCTTGAGTGGTTAGCGTTCTGTCCTAATATATTGGTTCTGTCCAATAATTGGTTTGGGCTGAGGACACTGGGATTCGGGTTCCAGCGGAGAGGAAGTTGTTTTCTGACGGAGGTACCCAGTCGGGGTACCAGGCGGTCCGTCACAATCGTAACCCCCTAACAGATCTAGTTAACAAGCAAGATGGCCAGGTGCTGATAATGCAATAACTGACCTTTAGCTCAACTTGGGTAATAAGCTTAAGTTCCAATTTAACTCAATAGTCATAACTCTGACTGGAGATGATAAATTAAAATAACCGAATATTTAGTTGCGCCCTTTCAAATGAATTCTGGACATATTAAATATGATTGGTTTAGGAGGGTCTAGAGGCCCAAAACATATATGAACCCTTCTGAGGCAAATATAATTTACTGGCACATCAAGTTCAATATCAAAACAAAGATAATTTGGTTGGACAATAATGTATTGGTTATCAGATGGCAATATGTGAAACTATAGTGATATGTTTATTTATATGAAATTGACAGTTTGGGAGGGGCAGAGTGGCAAAATGTAAAGAAATACTTTGCTGCAACAACTAATCGACATAATTGATTATAATCGATGATTGAAAAAGTTTTCAACTTTTTCAATCATCGATTAATCGGCTTCCAAGTGGTTTGCCCTGTTCACGGCTCCACACGCTGCGGGACACACCTCCATCCCACCTCACGCTCGCCGCTGCCAGAGCGGCCCGCATCCACTCTCCACACGCCACAACTCTTCCCCTCCTCACGCTCACCGCCCGCATTCACGATCGGCACAGGGACACGGGGAGAAGAAGTAAAGAGGAGCAGTTGTGGGCGGATGACAGCCGCCGATAGACAGGCCCGATCTCGGAAACAAGTTGCTGGAAGACTGCCCAGGAAAGCCTGCACTTTCCCACACATGGTGCTCTATAATGTATTGCTGGGATTTGTTGTATTCCTATATAGCTGGTGGTATTCTGCATTGCGCTGTATAGAGGACTACAAATCAAGAAATAATACATTATACAGCGCAATGCGGAATACCACCTGCTATAGAGGAGTACAACAAATCCCAGCAATAGTACATTATACAGTGCAATGCAGAATGCCACCAGCTATAATGTACTATTGCTGGGATTTGTTGTAGTCCCCTATAGCTGGTGGTATTCTAAATTGTGCTGTATAATGTACTATTGCTGGCTTTTGGAGTCCTCTATAGCCGGTGCCATTCTGCATTCATTGCTGTATAATTTTACACTTTTCATTTCACTATATTGCACACCACACTTTTTTTTCTTTTTAACTTCCACTGCTCCAAGCTTGCTCCTGTGATGGACTGCAATCTCAATACGAACTAGTAGTCCCATCACAGGAGCCATTTAAAAAAAATGTATTTTTTTTTATCCGATTAACCGATTAATCGAACTTAATAATCGGCTAACTAATCGATTTTGAAAATAATCGTTAGCTGCAGCTCTACTGTTGACACTAAGGTGTTATCTATGATTTAGAGCTAAAAGTAAATGAACAATTAATGCATAACTGAAATTTCTAGTCCACTGACCTTCTATAATGTACGTGTGTCCTGTATTAGTTTTCTAATGCTGTTGTCTACATTTAGTAATTTAGTAACAGTTTTTCACTACACATTGTGGTTTACTCATATACTGTAATTACTTCAAATTCTGCCTGTATATATTTTTTATTGATTAAGCAATATATAGAAAATTATTTAAAAAAAAATAGGATTTTGGTACTCACCGTAAAATCCTTTTCTCTCCGTTCATTGAAGGACACAACCCATGGTGGAGGAAAAGGCCTCCAAGGATAGCAATGCGCCAGCGGACCCCCCCAAAGGCCCCGCAGACACCAAGGGAGACTGGGAGAGGGGCGCAGAAGTACAGGCTGCGCAAAGGGGGGATGTGGGAGAGGTCCCTGAGGAGAGGCCGCAATCTAACAACCTATATAACCCACCTGTGATGCAATGCCAGCTACTTCTCCAGTGTTCATGCAGTCTGCTGCTTGAAGTAAAACAGCTTCTGCATTGCAAGTACTAAGAAAACCCTGACAAAAAAAAAAAGGGAAAAACCAAAACATAAATGAAAACACACCTGAGAGTGGTTACATTTTAAGTATAACATTTTCAGATTATATTGATTGGATAGGTGTGATATCTGCATTTCATAATTTACTACAGGCCTGGGGAAAGGCCATGGGCTTCCAAGAACGCTTGCTTAGATACACTTTAATTTTCATGGAGTTTATTCTTACCTGAATTTGTTGCTCTCTTTTTTCAACATGTGGAATTAACAAGAGACACCCGAAGGTAAATGCTGGTAAATCAATTTGTGCATACTGCCTAGCAATTCCTAAGAGGTCCAGATCAGCAAGTACAGGACACCTTCACAAACAGAAAGCAGGGATAAAAAAAACTTTATATGAAACAAAAAAATATCTTTGTATTGAACTTCCCCACTGTATATGCTGAATAGTATACAGGTAAATGTGAACATCCAGCATTTTCTAAATACTGATCTTTAAACTCACTTTAAGAGAACTATGAAAGACTGGTAGCATTCGATAAGCTGTGAGGGGCTTGGCGGGCAGGAGGCTACAAAACAAAATATATCAGTCTTGCACTAACAAAGCATAAAACCATTTATAATTTCAAAACATTGTTTAAATTACAAACCACAAGTGAATGGTGCTAGAATAACACTGCGCCATGCTCGGCTGAAATTTGGTACCTGTAAAAAAAAAAAAAAAATTGACAAGCTCCAGTATTTTCCAAAAGTTCCGTCAGAACTAATACGTGTTAACAGGAAGTAACTGTAAGGGCCTAGACTTATCTATACATAATGTAACATGGACTTACTGAAAGCCATTATGTTCTATTTTTCTGTAGAATAAAAGGTACATTTATGTTCATGGTTTTAAGACAAAGAGCATCAGTGATTCTCATAGTCTAAGACTCTTACATCATAGGATCCCAGGTTGTACATTTTGGGGGTCTAGTTGGACCAGACAATAACAAGATAAAGCCTGACAATGGTACCAGACTGTAAGATAAATGAGGATGCCATGCCTCAGGCTTAACAAAGGACAAATAACTATTCCTCATTATATATATATATATTTTTAAAGTTTGAATAGAGTTCACATTGAAAGTTACCCATTACATAGTATTCGTATTTGATAGGATTGGTATACCCAATAATATCAATTGTATTATTAATATTGCATGAGGTATATAAATACATTTGCTTAATAAAGTAATTTTGTTTTCATAATGCAATATTCAATATGCATATCCTATATATTTTAGTTGGTTTTACTAATTGACATACTGGTGTATTGTATTAATATGGCATTTTTAACATTACAAATGTTTATATTGGTTACATTATTATAATATAATGTATGTAATATGCATTAAGGAGTTAAAGTAGCCACATTCTTAGCACACATTACTTCATCCACAGTGGTATGGTATGGTATGTATGTATGTATGTATGTATGTATGTATGTATGTATGTATGTATGTATGTATGTATTTTGTTCTCTCTCCTCTCATACTTTCTATACTCTATTGTCTTAAAAGAGGCATGTTCTATTGTATGTCTAGAATTAGACAAGAAGCTAGCTATCTCTGAAATTAATGTTCTTTACTATTTTGGGGTGATGAGGTAATCCCATGACATGTTACAGAAGTTTTAAAGAAAAGTCTAAAATCATTCCTAGACCAATACTGTCTCCTTCAGGTAATGGCAGGTAAAATTTGGAGTAAAGTGAGATGAGTGGTGACATCATATCATAGTTAAGATAAGATAGCATATTTCCCTCCAAAACATTTTGGGTGATAAAAGCTTAGGGAAATTTGGGAGAGGTGGAAGACTGAAGAGAGAACAAAATGTAACAGGGGGAAAATGAAAAGGTGAATGGAAGAGAACCTGAACATGTAACAAAGAGTTTCTGTCCCTAAATTGAACAAGGCTGAACATCACTGAGACTAAAGAATTTCCAGATTAGTGGTAAAGTATAATTTTGCATCCATATGTAATCAGTGTAACATTGTATATATAAAACAAAAAATGACTGTTTTTTGAAAACCCACATACAATACTGACACAAAACAATCTTTTAACTTTTTGTATTAGGTCAGGTACATACCTCCCAGAGGCAGTGAATTCCAGTGATGGCAATTAACACCTTTCTCAGGTAAGTCACCTAAGCATAGCCAAATAATAAAATATGAATTGCAAAAGATGACAGCTAAGAGAAATTTACAGAATTTAATAATGCTGGTAAATATAGTAGTTCCTTGTTAAAGCTAAACTCCTGGATGAGCTCAAGTTGTCATTATAAAGATCCCTCCCGTTTGCAACAAAACTGCTCAAAAATGATACCAGTAGCTGAATATGCAGCTAAGAAATCCTAACTTTTACACCTTCTGTGACATCATCAATTCTCTGCAAACCTTCTATCTATATCAGAATGCAGGGAGGAGGGATCTTTGAGGCGCCCTAAGTCATATACTTCGTATTTTAGACGTGCCTCCACAACTACATGTCCTGTCAACCTTTGGGACTGTATTTACAGTGACAGCACATGTTACTGATGCCCTATGATGACTGACCAGTGGTAGGCGGGTTTATAGGCAGTGAAAGGAGAGTTGTGTTCTCCTGTGTCATCCTGCCCTCATAGCTACCCACCATTGGTCTGGCAACATACAGCTTCTGACACTGCAAAGTTTAGGTTTGTCTGTGTCTCACAGAAGTCTGTACCCTGTGGTTGTGAGGTGCAAGAAAACAGGATTGGAATACCTGATTTGCATAAACTAGTTATTGGACTGGAGGAATGGTGATTAGTAATCTATGTATCATTTAAATTTTAAGAAAACACAACATTATTATAGAGTTCCTTCCATTCTGTTATTCGGAACCAATGCTTACCATGTTAAATCCAAGTAACTTTTGCAATAATCCACTCCAGAGCTGAGGATCATAAACTTGATATTCCAGACTGAGCTCTGTTACCAATCTTACTGCCTGAATCAGGAGGAGAGAATAATAAGCAAAGGAACAGCAAGGAAAATGCATACAGGTGACATACTCTATAGTCAAGAGTTCAGATTGTCTCTCTCTTCCTGCTAACACAAAAACAGGTATGGAATAAAAGCCCCTAAGGTAACAAAAGGACTAATGCACAAGTACTAATCTTCATAAAGATCCATGCGGAGCCCTTTGGATCCTAGGCTGAACACAGCTCCTCAACTTCACTTTAAGCCAAGATTAAGCCACACACACAAAGCCCTTCCACCTATCTTATAAAGGTCTAATGCAAGTGCCACAGTAGGCAGTAAATGTTTCTAAACGTTAAAGGACAAAGGGTGGACTTTGAGCCCTGACTTTAGCCGATTATCAGAAAGTCAGTCGGCGTAACCTGTCGCCCGGCTTCCTGATGGCCTGGGAAGCTTCCTCTGACCGGAAGTTTCGGTATCGGAGTTAAGTATCGGAGCATTTGGGCGAGTAAGAGTACTCGCCCAAATATTCGGTATCGGTGCACTTTTCCTCACACACACACAAAGATGGAAGAAAGTGCAGAACGAGGCATAAGTCAGTAATGGAAAAAGATCAGATACAAAGAAAGAGACCACATGCAATTGTAGGGGCTAGTCCTTTAGTCCTTTCCCTCTGCCTTTCTTTTTTGACGCAGCTTCCATTCCATATGTCCAGTGGTTGGACATACTTCAGCATATACCTTGGCCTCCCAAAAGCACGTTTCAATGAATAACCCAACTGTTTACCCTTCACAGGGTTTAATGTACCTAAATATGTTTCTACAATTTCAAGTGCAGAGACTCCCTAACTATTATGCTACTGACATGATATAATAGATACTATCAATAAATTCAACACTAGCCTGCTATGTGGACCCAAATTATGAATCCTAAGTCTAATGGAGTAACAGAGTTATACATAATATAAATCTAACAAGATCTTCTGTGGTAACCCCTTAGAATCTCTGCACAGGCAACTTCAAGTGCTTTTCCAGTTTTAAGTTAGCAATTATGTATTATCAACTTGCTTTGCGTGTTTGGGAGTGAATGGAAAGGGGCTTTGGGTTTCTTTTCACACTTAAAATAATAAAAAAAATGCTTTCAATTAGGGATGCGCTGATACCGCGTATTTGGCCGAGTATTCATTCAAATGGTCCTATACCGGAACTTCAGGTCGGAAGGAGATCTCCCTCTAACCGGCAGTGCCGAGGGGGCATTGAGCCGGCTTCCTTTCCAATCAGGAAGTTGGGAGGTTGGTTATGATCTGCCTCCCGGCTGGCTAGGCAGCCGGCTTCACTTGTTGCTCGGCAGACTGGATTCCTAACCAATCAGGAAGCTGGGCGGCATGTAGTGACTCACCTCCCAACTTCCCGATTGGTCAGGAAGCCATGCTGCCCAGCAACAAGTGAAGACGGCTTCCTAGCCAATCAGGAAGCTGGATTGCACCTGGTGACTTGCCGCATGGCTTCCTGAGTGGCTAGCAAGTCAGGCAGCCTCGGCCCATACCGGAAAAAAAAATATCGGTACTCGTACCGAAAAACTGGTATCGGTGCATCCCTACTTTCGATATAAGTAATCCATTAAAAAAAATGGATAGTAATCTGCAAATTTATGAGCAAAGAAAAGTATAGCCAATCCATTTACTAATTTACTCCTCTGACCCAAACTCAGCTGATAGCAGGCTAATGCCTGCCATCAGCAGGATGGGCACAGATGTGGTGCAGACAATATCAGGAGCCTCCCTGGCTGCGCCTTTCCCTGCACAGGTGAGAGCCAGCTGCGTCCACCCCCTCCCCGGCCTGTAGCTCCAGCCAGAGCTGGAGGTACAGCTGCAGCAACCCAGGTCGGCTCTAGGCATCAGGGATAGAATGTTTTACTCTCTCAATACTCTCCTTAATCAGCAGGCCTAAGAAAAGTAGTGTATGAAGGCTTCTAAATATATACATTCATTTTACACTCCCATTGGCCCAAGGTTAGCACCTGAGAACATGGTAAAATGTAATAAACAGTGGATATCATCCATAAGAGGCTCATATTCAGTCATTTATCATCAGACTTACCCTTGCTTCATGGCTGTGGTTTTTCCAAAGACCTTTAATCATTCCCTCTTTTGGACTGCTGTGGAATGATTCAAGGGTATACGGTATGTTCAAGATTTCAAACTCTGACAAGTAAATGCAGCACTTTAGGTAATACCTTAAGAAAAAAAAAAAGCGTGATCAGAGAATACAAAAAAAAAAATCTAACTTCTGCTTGTAAGCCAGAGCACTATATGTTTAGATCAACGTATTGTAGCATGATCCAGGCTTTTAAAAATAAAAATAATGTATAATGATAAGAGACTGACCTCCTTCTGAAAAAGCTAGATGCCCGGCCATCTTCGATTATAATAATTTTAAGACATTGATCCAGTGCAAGCAGGTAGACTAGAGATGACAGAATTAAACCAAAACTTCTAATTTGCTACTTGTTAAATGTCAGTAACTCAAAATGTCACTGGATCTTGGATATTATCTCACATCAAACTGTGTTAGCTCAGTTTTACTGTCTATGTATTGAGGATTCATAGGAGTCATATTATAACATCAGCTGCAATCTAGAATGTATTTATCAAAACCCTATTAAAATACAACATATTTTCTAAGATGAAAACAATCACAATAGATAAAATACAGGATCTATCTCATAGAATTAACTTACTTCACTTGGTCAATAGGTTTTTTGACAAGCGATACCACAGTATCTGTGTCAGCTAAATGGATCAAACACTGCAAAGCACGACTTCTGTGTGCAAATGTCAGTTTATTCTCTCCAATGGGCTGTTAAAAGAGAAAGCTTCAATAAGAAGGTGCCTGATATGGAATATATAAGTATTATATATAAGTATTTGCATACATTATCACAAATCTTATGTAGTAAACCAGCTTTTTAGTAAGATCCAGATCAATAACACTTGCCCAAGGTAAAGGGTCAGTCCACTCAAAGTTATATGTGGAGTCAGGTAAAATTAGTCACCCTTTAATATTACTTGAGGAAGCCTGTGTCGACATCATTCTGCCCAGTTTTTGGCTCCGTTCCCATCCATCCTTGTGATTTGGGTACTCCCACCAACCTTGGGTGCCCCTATTTCTCTTGTTACAATCTCAAGTAAAAATGTAACAGAGATGCATTCAAAGCGCCCCCCCCCCCCCCCCCGTCTCTTTGTAAAGGCTGTGATACAGATCTTTGAGTTTCACAAATCTAATGAAAGAAGACCATAAGAAATTTTAGAAGCCCTTAGCTGAGTACATTCACTAAACTCCACAAAAATAAGATTTTTGCACTCACCGTGATTTAGTTTTCTTGGAGTCAATTGAGGGACACAGGAAATCTTAAATCTGCAGGTTATATTGCTGCCTACAGGAGAATTGGTCACTGGCAAACAAAACTTTCCTGGGAAGATCCCTCCTACTCCCACCATGCAACAGTTTTGCAGCAAAGCAGTACCGACAGCATTATCATAAACACAAAGGGGTGGGACCTGTGTCCCACAATAGTCTCTAAGCAAAGGATTTTACAGCGAGTACAAAAATCCTATTTACTTTCTCATGTATTAAAGGACACAGGAAGTCTATGGGATGGTCAAGCAGAACCCAACTGAGGGGTGGACAAGACCGCAAACCATGCTAACAGGCCTAAGAAAAACAACAGAATTGGGGACTGCCTGCAGCTTAAAGAGCCACCTAAAAGGACCTCATACCAGAAGCTGAACCCTGAACATCCACCTTGAACCTTGAATGATGTCCTAGTTAAGGTGAAAGGCCAAAACTACGTTAGGTAAGAAAGGTTCTGGGCTGCAAATAAGGTTCTTTGCAGAACAAGACTGCCAGTTCAGAAACTCATCTTGCAGAGATGATGGCTACATAAAACTCCACCTTGTGAGCGAGAGTAGAAAATGGAATGTCTCTAACTGGTTCAAATGGCGATATGTGAAGTTCCAAGAGAATCAGATTCAGATCCCATGGAATCACAGGGAAACCAAGGATTGAGAATCCAATGGTCTCTGGAATAAGAATACAAGAGCAGAATTGTGACCACTATTGGTGCTGAGGGCCAAATGCTGATCAAGACCAACAGAGAATATCCTAGGTTAGATGCCGAGACTCAACAGGTGAAGCATGACTTTCAATTAGGGATGCGCTGATACCGCTTATTTGGCCGAGTACTCGTACAAATGCTCCAATACCGGAACTTCCGGTCGGAAGGAGATCTCCCTCTAACCGGCAGTGCCGAGGGGGCATTGGACCTTGCAAGAAAACGGCTAACCAGTGTTCAACATCAAGGGAATCACCAAATCAGAGATGCCCCTGTCTCTCAGAACCTTGGCTTCAACAGCCAATACATTAAAGCCACTGATTGCTAAGTAGGGTGGAAATTGGTCCTTTAATCCATTGTTCTCAACTGGTGGGTCGTGACCCAAAAGTGGGTCACGACTCCGAGTTCAGTGGGTCGCCGTGTGCTTTCCACTGTGCTAGGTGAGAGGCTCCTCCTGTCAGTTCTCTTGCCAAGAAGCCATTCAAAATATGCTGCCTAGTGCCGAGTCTGCTTGAGGTGGGATGGACTGGGGCTACGGCCATGAGGGAGCTCCATCCATACATACAACTTCCTTGCATGTCATGTAGAGGTGCCTGGACCGGAGTGATGTCACATTCTGACTCCCAGAACCTCTACAGGGCATGCAAGGGAGCTATACAAGCATTGCCCATATGGATGGAGCTCCGTCACAGCACAGCAGCCCACACTGGACTCCAGGCTGAGGATCAACTCCAGCTCTCGTATTGTATGGAGACTGGGTGGATCTTTTGAATGGCATCCCAAACGCACCTCCCACCCACAGTTCGATCGCCCGCATCGGAACACGCGGAATCACAATGCTATGCATGCCATTGCAGTGCAACTTAGCGGCGGGGGGCATTCGGACAGAGCCGCTGTCACAGCAGCACATGCGGTGAGGAGAGAGAGCCGCCGGCTGTCAGATCTCTCCTCACCGCTCGGTGTGCTGCTGTGATAGTGGCTCCATCCGAATGCCCCCCCACCCACCGGCTGAAGTGCTTTCCTCACTTCTCCTCGGATTCCCTACTGCCTTTGCCCGGGAGAGCAGCGGAGATCCAGAGGAGAAGCTGAGCCCCCCTGTGTGCGTGGCCGAGCGGCAGAGGATCGGTACATATCAGTGATGTGCAGGACAAACACTGGAGCGATCAGTTGATCACTCCAGTGTTTGTAAATAACTGGGGACACATAGTGCCATGTAAAACAGTAGAAAGTTATCATGGCACACCCACAAGCCAGCATGTAAAAAAAACTTGTCTCACCACTAAGGTTAACAACAGAGGTTTGGATACACGTCTTCTGCAGAAAATGTGAAAGCCGCACAGCCGCGCCAAGGCACCTCTTATAGTGCGGTCCTAACTCTAAACTATGAGAGTCTCCATCTTGGAGACTCTCATAGTCTTCTGCAGAAGACTAGGGCACGGGTCATGTCGCCTCACCCGTCCTAGGGTGTAGACCCCTCTGATCCAGTGACTCAGGAGTAAAACAATAGCTTTCTAAAATTAATCAACTATTATATCTTCAGCAAGTGCAGTGCAGGTCTAATGAATAAGAAAAAGGGTACTGACAACATTGTGACAAAACAAATAACAAAAAGTGACATTTAAAGTACATTCATAGCTAGGTCATTTAAAATTATTGTTTTTTTTTATCTCTTAGTAGACAAAAATGTATATATCTGTTCACATTCATAATTAGGGATCCAATTAAAACACTTACAGAAGTTGTAGAAGTTGCAATCGCATATAGCATTCTTGAGCTGAAATCTACAGGGTGAGGTTGGAGAAGATATAGTACTCTGTAAGCAAAAAGACACGCCATTATAATTACTGAACCAGAATGATCTGCAATGCTATACTACCCCAATGTATTTATGGTGCACTGGAATAACCACTGACCTAGCAAACCAATTTAAAGGAATCAAAATGTCAGTTTACACTTTAATAAGTATATATGTTTGAATAGTCTACGGTTGTGTTACATGGGGTGAAACTTTGGAATGTTTGTTGTCACTGTGTACAATTAAAAGCAATGAGGAACTTAAAAGCAAGACTAATGTATTACTTCTACAGAATAAAGTACATTATACTTTTTGTACCAGTTATCACCTCTAATGATTTTACAATGATAGTCTCTAGTTGCTTTATAAGCGTAAAAAAAAAAACAACTAATTTCAATATTTACTAGGTTAGCAAAATGTAGAGTTCATGTTTAACCCCTTCGTGACTGACGACGTACAGTGTACGTAAACATGCAACTCACCTGGATGGATGTAATTATGTGATCTTTGCACTCTGCCACTGTACTCTCGCTCCCTACACACACACCCTGAAGTTGATGTGTTGGAAGCAGTAGAAATGGGCAAGCGTAAGGATTTGAGCGACTTTGGGAAGGGCCAAATTGTGATGGCTAGATGATTGGGTCAGAGCAACTCCAAAACTGCAGCTCTTGTAGGGTGTTCCCATTCAAGGAATGAAAAGTGGTGAACCAGTGACAGGGACACGGGGGGGCGGGCGGGGCAAGACTCATCGATGCACATGGGGAGCAAAGACTGTTCCAGATAGTCCAATCCAAAGAAGAACTACTGTAGGTCAAATTGCTGAAAAAGCTAATGCTGGATCCTACAGAAAGGAGTCCAAACACACAATGCAGACAAGTCTGGGTGCCCATGCTGACCCGTGTCCACCACTACAATGGGCATGTGAGCATCAGAGCTGGACCAACGGAGCAATGGATAAAGGTGGCCTTGTCTGATAAATTAAGTTTGTGTGTGTTGCTTACCCAAGGAAGAGATGGCACCAGTATGCACAATGGGAAGAAGTAGTGTTGCATTGGGACATGTTCTGCTGAGAAACCTTGGGTCCTGCCATTCATGTGGATGTTACTTTGACACGTAGCACCTACCTAATCATTGTGTCAACTTTTGTTCCCCATGGTCCTTGTGTGTTTTGTAAAGCAGCCACTGCTCCTAGCTCACTCCCGTGGACTACAATCTTAATAGAAATTAGTAAACTAAACATAAGATTGTAGTTCATCACGGGAGTGATCTTGGAGCAGTGGCTACTTTAGAACGCACAGGGACCATGGGGAACAAAAGTAGCCACCCTCCAGAAGGAAGAACAGTGTCATCATGAATTGCATGTTTATGGAATGTGATCTTGCTAGACATTACTTTACTCCACTTTTTGTTAACAGTCATCAGTGTAGGAAACTCCAGAGCAGCAAACCGTTACGTGGCAAATCCATGCCTCTTTGAAGTTTTTTTTGTGAAAATGGGAGTGGTCATTAGAGTCTATGCTTTAGGGGGCTATACCTACCGCTGGTGAAAGTGAGGATGCTCACTTTTCTAATAGAGTTGCTGTAGTCCTTGAATCCCAAAACTGTTCTCTGGTGCTCATAACAATGTATCAATTGTATGGTTTCATCGTGAGTTATTGAAAAAACAAAACCCCCACAGATGTCAAATTGGCATACAACATACCTGCTGAGGTCTTCATCCCCTTGTATGTCACCATATACATCTTTGTCTTTCTAGAAAAATAAGACAACCTATATACTTAAAAATACAAGTGTAAGCTGACATAGCATTAAAGAACACATAAAATTGCATAATGAAATAGGCCGTCTTTCTGTGTGTGTAGAGCTGTGTTGCATGCATACAGATTACAATTCAGATACAATGACGTATGTATCAGCAGATAAACTTTTCTTTTTCTCTCTACACAGATCCTGGAAACTGCCACCCTTCTCCCCTGCGGGGCAGAGGCAGCTGCTAGAACCTCCCACCCTTCTACCCTGTGTGCAGCTCCTGGGATCTATCACCCGTTCCGCCTGTATGCAAAAGCTACAACTTCTATGGTCGTCTACAAGCAACTCTTGATTTTCTCCTCTGTGTGAAGCACATTTCAACACTGTGTGTGCAGTTCCTTAGACCAACTCCACAAAATGCAGCTCATTTAAAGTAGTATTAAACTCTCACCCTTTTTTCAATAAAGAATCCAGACCAAACAAATTTACCACAGTATGTCTTTACATTTTTTGCCCAAGTATAAGCAACACCCCAATCTGTAAATAAAACCCATGGTCTTTGGAAAATTAGATAAATGTACTTACTACAGCTTGTGGTAGGGTAGTTGGACACAGCCATTTGTCAAGGAGTAGGTCTCGAATTTTGCTCATGCTCAAGTTGTTCACTTCAGCTATCTGCTTTGCTGCAGCGTGAATGTCTGTATGAATAAATACGATTTATGTATTTTTAAGAAAATATTTTGTGATGGCACTTCAAATGTTTATGTTAAAGATTTTTTGGCATAGTCTATTTTTTTTATTTTTTAGATAGTGCTCCAAGTCAGTATCTCGTAAAGGAAATAAACCCAAAACATTACATTAGTTAGAAGCTTGCACAAATAACACATTAGACCGATAAATTATTATTATACAGGATTTATATAGCACCAACAGTTTGCGTAGCACTTTACAAAGTAATGTATAGTACAAATACAGGCTCCAGATGTACATATACACAATAAGGCTTGCCATACACTGTTAGAATTCCTGTGAATTAGCTGAAATTCTTACAATGAGTAGCCCTGTCAGCTTACCAAAAGTCGATTACACAAGCAAGGGCAAGGCCAAATATTGTAGGCTATACAGTAACTGCAGTCAACCATGTATTGTTCATGTATTCTGACAGTGACACGCACTCACGGTCACAACAGCCACTGTTTACCGGTAGTGTGGATGGAGCAATCTGTGAGATTTATGTCTTTCAGCCCACAGGCTGAATAAAAAAAATAAAATCTAATTGTGTATGGCCAGCTTAAGTAGTGGAAAAGGACAATTTTGAATGTTTATCAAGGGTCCCATTTAATCTATATTATATAAGAAAAAAACAGGCTTTGTATGATGAGAAAGCAGTATATGCTGTATGCACAAAACGAGGCCACAACAAATTAAGCAAAATTAAAGCTAGACTTGCACCTTGAAAACAGCTACATCATCAGCATCACCAAATATGTTAAAGGACAACTTTGGGGAAAAAATTTAATTAACCCTTGCATTGGGGCTACCCCCGCACTGCATGGGTTAACCGCTTATCTAGGGACTAAAATTAAAAAAAAAGTTATACTCACCCGAACCTCAGAGCCGGCCAGCTGTCACAGCGCCCCCCCCCAGCCTCTCTTCTCCTATGCCGCTGCAATGATATGTCCATCGGTGTTCTCACATCCTATGCAATGAGTATAGAACATGATGACTCAGGAACCTGAAGTGGAGGGGGAGAGACGCAGGAAGGACAAGTCTAATAAGCCGGTCAGGAGGATCGGGTAACTCTTTTTATTCTAGTCCCCAGACGAAAATGAGCAGTTAACCCTTGCAGTGGGTAGGAAGCCCCACTCCAAGGGTTAATAAAATTAATAACATTTTCTTTAATGTTTGTTCTTTAAGTAATTCAAACATAGGAAGGTACAGAATCCATGTTCTGAAAATCACATTTTTAATGCTCCTTTGGAAGACGATGAGGATATAACTACAGGCTGTCCCCGGGTTACATACAAGATAGGGACTGTAGGTTTTTACTCAAGTTGAAATTGCATGTAAGTCGGAACAGGTAAATTTTTTCAGTGTAGCTCCAGCCAAAAAAATATTTTTTAGTTTTGGATAGCACAGGAAAAGGGTCACCTTTGTTTTGCTGTCTGTTCCCCTTGTTCAGAAGATTATAATATAAAAAAACTTTTATTTAAAAAATGACACACCAACAAATATTTTTTTTGTCTTTTTAATTTTATAAACTTTATTTTTTTTATTTGTTTGCATTTGTCCCAGTGTGCGGGAGGAAAGCGTTGTGATCGTTTGGCATGTCACAATCCCCGTACCGCCCCATGTGACAGATTAGGAGAGCGGTGTGGGGGTCAGTGCTGTCACAGGAGGCTGAGCTCTCCTCCCGCACCTCCCCACTCAGCCTCCTATGACAGATCAGGAGAACGGTGGTGTGTGGGGCGGAGACAGCTATCACAGGAAGTTGGGCCGGCGGTGTGGGGGAGGAGTCAGCTGTCAGAGGAGATCAAGCTCTCCTCCCTGCACTGCTCGCTCAGCATCCTGTGACAGCAAGTCAGGTTGGAGAGTGGGTACAAACGCTCAGTGATTTCTGAGTGTTTGGAAATAATTGAGGACATAGTAGGTTTACTGTGTCCCCAATTATAAATGAATGGGAGTGATCTACACCACTTCCTGTTCATTCATGATTGTGGACATGGTAAACATACTATCTCCACAATGTATGAATGGACAGGAACCCTCGGAATAGAGGATTCCTGTTAATTTATAACAGGGGCTGCAGAAAAAGAGTAAGAGGACCCTGTGTCCTCAATCTCTATTTTTATTTTAAAAGGGAAATATCAGGGGTCCGTTTAGACCTCTGATTTTTCACCTAAGCCCCCAAAGTAAAAAAAAATTAAAACATTTAAAAAAAATTTGGAAAGGTTAAAGGAGAACTATGAGATGAGTGATTTCCCCTCACCTCATAGTTCTAGCCGACCTGTGACAATGAGACTGTCACAGGTCGGCTCAGTAGATCGGGAGGTGAGCGAGCACATACCGGGTTCGCTCACCTCTCGATCCGGTCACAGCTCTCTGCAGCTGGGCGGATATCGACGTCCATGTCGGGATCCGCTCCGGCGTCTCAGTATACCGCGAGCTGTAGCTCGCGGTATACTGAGCTTAGGGTAACGGGAGGACGCTAGTTCTCCTTTAAGAATCTTTTTTTTTTAGGTTTGGTATTTTTAAAATGTTTCCATTTTGTTTTGGGTTTTAATAATGTAATTTGGGTGCACCTCTAGTCTATATAATACATAAATTGGAAAGCACACAACTGTAATATAAAATACATGCAGACATGAGTATGCAAATTTAGTTCTATTCAAACATGCATTTTTGTTTTAGATGACAGGCTATCTTAACAGTAAGAACAACATATTTTCTGTATTTGCCAGACCAGAAAGAAAATGCTGATGAAGTACGATGTTTACTAATACTGTCAAAATGTTACCAACGAAATGTGTTCAATGTTATGCCCAAATGTAACACCCAAAGACTGATCAGAAAATGTTAGAATATGTATAAAATACACTTGATCAGATATCCTATATTAAAAACAGAAAACAATCCCCACTATTTAATTCATTTACATAAAAATACCTCTAATATACTAACTAGTATCAATACAGTGATAAACATGAACTGCACACCTTGCCCCAGCAACTGTCCTAATATTAGCATGTACATTTGCTGCTCCGAAGAGATAATTTTACACTGTCCTGCCTGCCCAGCACCACAACAGGCTTTAGCTCAAACTTGCTTTCTAAACAAGTGCAGAAAATACTCCACATAATTGTTTTCTCTGGGACATGCCTTCAGTATGGCTGTTCATAAAGCATCCCTCTGTATGTTTGAATGGAGGATGGGAGTGCCAAAGACACAAACATTGTGTTGGCTCTGGACAGTGTAAACGTACCTCTCATGTGTGTCAGAACCATAAACAGACACAATTACAGACTGCACCTACTATTAGCCAAAACACAGGCCCTGATTTATTCTCACATTATAACTAAGCCTCACCAATTGCCACCCCCTGCTAAATAAGAGTGCCTTAGTTTGTCAGTGCAGCAGTCTCACTGGACATCCATGGATATCCATGAAGGCCCAAGTCACAAAGTGACATTTAGCCTGGGTTCACACCTAGGCCACAGCATTTTTTATGCACTTTTTTTTTTGCGCGTTTTATGCGCATAAATAAAATGGGCAGATTGCAGCTCATTGATGGTAATCAGAAACGCGCAAAAACGCATTTTCAAGAGTTTCCTATTGAGTCTATGGGGCCAAAATGAGCTGTAATATGCCAAAAAAAAGCTCATGTACTTTTTCCAGTGATAGGCATTTTGCTTTTTGTGACAAAACGCTCAGATGTAAACAGGGCCTTAAAAATGAATGGGATTTTTCTTTTGGGCATATTTTTTGAGCGTTTATGGCAGAAAAAGTGCTTAAAAACGCTCAGTGTGAACCAGGCCTGAATGAGAGGGCCACAGAAGAAGTTTTTCTGGCTAATAAAAGGTAATACCATGCATTTTGTTTTATCTTTTAGGTAGAACATTTACAATTAAATTTTAGAATCAACACTTGACTAGTCAGACCTGGATAACCCCTGCCTGTTGGATTTCGTATCCTTTCTTCCACACTAACGTGTTCATATAGTGAAACAATGAGGTTGGTTGGTTTTCCAATCTGTTTCAAAAAGTCAGGAGTATTTAGTTTGTGCGTTATCAGAACATTTTCTGTGGCTGAACGTTGGTACTGCACAGTAAGCTTCTTTATCAGCACTTCAGCCCTTTCGTAAGCATCCACCTTAAAATGTTACAAAAAAGAAAACAAAATTACAAACCAATTCACAAAACATCTTTACAAAGTAGCATGTTTACCACGTGTCAATGATTTTGTTTTTTTTAAGTGCTCAGTTCTTCTGCTGTAACCTCAGCAATTATTCTCCACAGCCTGGACAAGATATTTGTAGTTAGTCTGGCTTGCAAACTGATTCACTTATCAATATTTTGAATTCATATATTGCCGAGTCATTGGTAAGTTAACAGAAGCTGTTAATGCAATGCAAAGTAAGGTGACTCACACATTCCTGCAAATAATGGCTGGATCCTGAAAGAATGATCACTCTACAGGCTGTATGACATATGCAAGTTCTACAGCACTCAGCCTGGAGCAAAAGACACTTCACAAGTACTGGGAGCGACTAAATCCTCTCACTGCAATGTCGGGCCTATAGCTATGTAAAAAGACCACACCATTAAGACATAGTGACCTACATCCTTTAGCTCCAAAGTAGCATGTCCCAGTACTGACTAACATCATATTATTTCTAACTGAAAAGAACTCTAATTACCCTGATAGTAAAAGGGGGAATGATGATAATAAAGGAAGGGGGTGCGGAGGGAAAAACCTGCAAATAAAGGCAAACCTACCTATAGGTTCGCTCACGTTCAGTGGCAACAGCTCCATGTTATGCCTCTTTAAACTACAGCTGGCATAACCATAATTACAGTAAGCCGCTCCCCCAGATGGCATCTTCCTCTTTCACCAAATGTGCAAATGAGTTGTACCATCCTGTACACTGATCTGTGCATGTGTAGTAGGCAGTGTTAGGGAAAACAACATTCTTGAATAAAAATTGAAAGGAGATTTGGACAGAAGAGGCATTTTAAGTCTCTTCTACCAAAAAAACTGCCTACAATCAATTTTCTGCTTTTAGGTTACAGTTTCAATGTAAATTTTAATTAAATCTTACTTTTTTCCCCACACATGGAGATCACACTGGAGATGGTCATTACTAGTACAATATTTTAATGATTTTATAGGGCATATCATACAGATTGAATCTAACATTTACAGGGTTAAAAATACTTATTTTTACTTTAAAGATAGGAAGAAAGGAATAGATCAGGGTATATTGATCACACAGAGCCCTCAATCTGGACACAAATCTGTCCACCTTCTTGTTAAACTGAAATGCCAGAAGGTCCACATCTGGCATTCCCCAGTGCTGACAAATTTAGTGAAAAAACCTAATGATTGATGTTAGCCACTGCCGTGGCATTTTCTTATCGGATCCGAACCGGAAAATCCGGGAAAAGGGAGATCCAATGAGACAACATACGGCAAATTTCCCACAACTCCAGGATGTCGATGGGTAGTTTGGATTCCTCCTGTGACTAGCAACCCAAACTGAACAAATGATCCAGAACACCTCCTCAAACCAAAAGACTGGCATCCATTGTGACAACCCTCCAGTGACTAGGAAGAAAGGAATTCCCTTAGGAGAAATCATCCACCAGGACAGAGATATGCTAGCTTGGGAACTCAACCTGATCATCTTAACCAGAGACAGATTAGAATTGTCCCACAATGTGAGAATGTTCCATTGAAACATGTAGTGAAACCAAGCAAACCGAACCGCTTTGAAGGTGGACACAATTAGGCCAAAAACTGCACCATCTTTGAGAAAGAAGCAGGCGAATTTGACTCTGCAACTTGGTTGAATTGTCCGGGGGAAGAAAAACCTTGGCCAGGCATGCATTTAAAAGTAAATCCAAGTACCCCAGGCGATGCAATGAAATTAGGGCTGATTTCTCGATGTTCAGCATTCATCCAAAGTCCTGTAAGTTTCTTAGTACTGTGGACACATTGGTTTCCAAAGTCAGAGAAGACAGTTTGCGAAACAAAAGATCGTCTAAGTATGCAATCATCGGACTGCCCTTTTGGCGAAGAAGACGCAGAATCAGAGTAAGGATTTTATTTTAGAGATTGATCCAAAATTTCAGCCGCCGAAACATTTTGGCCAAAAACAGCACTATTGGCAAAATGCCGAAAGTGCCATGATGACCCGAAACTGTGCCTGAAAATTCAGTGTATCCCAGCTTCTTTCCTCCCTGCTGGGTGCCAGTCTTTGTGCCTTGCGATGCCGGCCGGCACCCAGCAGGGAGGAGAGAAGGTACCAGTATGCCGAGAGGTGGGGGAGGAGAGCGCTGTCAGCATTGCAGGAGACCAAGCTCACCTCCCGCCACGGCCTCCTGTATGAGGATGGAGAGTGGCGATTGGAGGAGAGCTCTGTGATGTCAAGGAGGTCGAGATCAGCTGATCACCATTTGTAAATAACTGGACATAGTATGAATTACTAGGTACCGGTTATATTTTTTAAAATATATTTTTACAATATTCAACCTATATTCCTTATATATTATTTGGTTGTACCCATTGAAACATATTAGTATATATTATTAATATGGTGTTTTTTTAAAGTACAAATAATTAGGTTGGGTATCTTGTTATTTTGTATCAGTGAAAGAATGTTAGTAACCACTGTGTCAGTACAAATGACTTCATTCTCAAGGTACAGTATCTCACAGAAGTGAGTACACCCCTCACATTTTTGTAAATATTTTATTATATCATTTCATGTGACAACACTGAAGAAATGCCACTTTGCTACATTGTAAAGTAGTGAGTGTACAGCTTGTATATCAGTGTACATTTGCTGTTCCCTCAAAATAACTCAGCACAGCCATTAATGTCTAAACCGATGGCAACAAAAGTGAGTACACCCCTAAGTGAAAATGTCCAAATTGGGCCCAAAGTGTCAATATTGTGTGTGGCCACCATTATTTTCCAGCACTGCCCTAACCCTCTTGGGCATGGAGTTCACCAGAGCTGCAAAGGTTGCCACTGGAGTCCTCTTCCACTCCTCCATGACGACATCACGGAGCTGGTTGATTTTGGAGACCTTGTGCTCCTCCACCTTCCGTTTGAGGACTTCAATGCATTGAGAATCTGTGGCATGATTTAAAGATTGCTGTAGACCAGCGAAACTTGTCCAACTTGAAGGAGCTGGAGTAGTTTTGCCTTGAAAAATGGGCAGAAATCCCAGTGGCTAGATATGCCAAAGTTATAGAGATTATAGAGAGGCAGCTGTAATTTCTGCACAAGGTGGCTCTACAATGTATTGACTTGGGGGGGGTCAAGTTTTCTGTTTTTCTTGTCTTATTTCTTGTTTGTATCACAATAAAAAATATTTTGCATCTTCAAAGTGGTAGGTATGTTGTGTAGCTCAAATGATAGAAACCTCCCAGAAATCTGTTTTAATTCCTGGTGGTAATGTAACAAAGTAGGAAAAATGCCAAGGGGGGTGAATACTTTTGTAAGCCACTGTAGCACTTTTTCCCTAGAATACTTACGATCCTAGACCAATGTTAAGTATCAGGGGAAAAACAGCGGACAGCAGGACAACGCTGTAGAGCCTATAGGAAATATAGAGCACAATTCATCTCCAGCGCCCTCTTCCGCGAGTCTGTGTCAACTTCTCCTTAATGCTGTAGGTGTCTCACACTTGTGTGAAATGAGGGCAGGAGGAGAGCTAATGAAGTGCACACATGGCTCCAGATTAGCCAAAGAGAAGTAAAGTTTTTTTTATTTAATAGCAGGGTGAATACAGTATTGATCAACCACACAACATGTTTGTAAACATAAGTCTTAAACATTTAACATTAATAAAGCACAGACAGCTAAAATATATAATGCAGTGAAAACAATTACTTATTTCTCAGTGGTATTATACATTTTTATTAGTGTTTGCATTACCTTAGGAGATGTGTTGCTTTTCCAGTTTTCAGCCAAATGCAAGCAAAATTTTAATGCGTGGATTTTATCTGGTCCTAAAACAAAATCATAATTTAAAACAGATTTGCCTAAAGGTAAATTAAAAACTTGAAGACCATCATATTACCTTTGTACACTGCACATAGACTGATCTGCGCTACATACCTGTTGGAAGCTCTTGTGCAATTCTGTGAGCTATAGCTGCAGCCCACTCTGGGTTACTAATAGACTGAAGGTATGACTGTATAGTGAGCACAGTTTTTGCAGTTTCTTTGTTAAGAAGGGAAGAGCATTCATTATTTTTAAGTTTGAGTGCTTTGGGTCGTAAACTTTTCTCAAACACATGTTTGACAGCGTTCATATATAAAGTGTCCAGTGAAACCTAAAATTCGAAAAATAAAGAAAAAAATAAAGAACTTAGGCCAAGACCGAATTTATCTTAATCAGTTTGTATTGTATTTGCACAGCTTTCATTCCAGATACAGACTCAAAACAGATAATTGTCAACACTACAATGTTCACAAAAATATGAGACATAAGATTTAGAGGTGAATGTCTACCTTCTGCTTCTAAGACGTGTTAAGGTGCCCATACACCTTACGATTATCGGACAAAACTTTTTTGTCCGATGATCGAACCATCGTACGATTTTCGTACGACGGCCCCATCCTGCCCCGATTATCAAAAGGTTCAATCAGCGGTAGTTAAAAAAAAACACCTGGACGACTTGCGGTAATTAACCGCAATTATTTTCGTTTGCGCAGTGTTAATCGTACGACTTTTGACGGACGGAAACGCCACCAACCATGCAAACATCATACGATCGACCAAAGTTTTCAAACATGCTTGACCGTCAAAAGTCGTACGATTGTACAGTACTATCGGTCGGGCACTCTATTCACACGTTACAATTGTCCTACGAAAAGTCGATTGCATACGATTATCGTCCGATAATCGTAAGGTGTATGGGCACCTTAAAAGGTGCCCATACACCTTACGATTATCGGATGATTTTCGCAATGCGAGCGACTTTTTGGCCGATAATCGTATGTGTGCATTGCAGTGTCCGACCGACAGTACGGTACAATCGTAGGACTTTTGACGGTCAAGCATGTTTGAAAACTTTGCTAGATCGTACGATTTTCGTAAGGTTGCTGGCGTTTCCGTCCGTCAAAAGTCGTACGATCTATACTGCGCTTGCTCTAACGAAAATACGGCAAATCAATTACCGCATTTCGTCCAGGTGCTTTTCGTTAATTACGGCTAAATTAATCTTGCGATCATCGGGGCAGGATGGGGCTGCCGTACGAAAATCGTACGACTATTCGTCCGATAATCATAAGCTGTATGGGCACCTTTAGACTGAACAACTTTAGCCAGACAATACTGGTTTAAATGTAGAGACTAGTATGCATAAATAAATAAAAAAAAAAAATTGTACTATATAAAACGTAGATATGGATACAATCTTTATTACACACACACAGTTTTGTGGAAAAGAAAGTACACACTTTGAATTCTATAGTTTCAAGTATCAGGACATAAAAAAAAAAAGTCATCTGGTCCTTAGCAGGTCTTAAAATAAGGTAAATACAATATCAGATGAACAACACACGACATATTACACCGTGTCATTATTTATTTTACAAATATAAAGCCAAAATGGAGAACATATGTGTGGAAAAACTAAGTACACCCTTACTGCTTCCATAGGAATTAGGAGGCCAAGTAGCAGTCAGGTGCTGCTAATCAAGTGCTCTTGATTAATCGATCATAAGCAAGTGTCACCACCTCTAAAAGCACTCATTCACACGGGTAACGGCCAGCCTGTACAGATCCATGCTGCGTGTAGGGCTGTATCGCGCAGCTCCCGGGAAGGACAGGTGCTGCGTGTGATTATGCGCAGCAGCCTGTGTTCTCTATGGGAGTACGTATGTCCGTGCGGTTGTCTGTATTCGTACGCTGAAAGGATAGATCCTGTCTGCGTCTGAGCAAGGACTCCCGCACCCGTAAGGACATGCAGGTCGGGTGAGCGTACTCCCATAGAGGAGGACTGGCTGCTGCGTATAATCACATGCAGCACCTTTTTCTTCCCGGGAGCTGCCCAATACAGCACGGATCTGTATGGGCCGGCCGTTACCCATGTGAATGAGGGCTAAAAGCCAAAGTTTCTGGAGCATTCAGGTGTGTGTCAACACAATACTAAGGAGATAAGACATCAGCAATGACATCAGAGAAGTAATTGTTGCTGCCCATCAATCTGGGAAGGTTAGAAGGCCATTTTCTAACAATGTAAAGGTCATCTTTCTACAGTGAGGAAGATTATTCACAAGTGGAAAACAGTCAAGACAGTTGTCAAACGTCTCAGGAGTGGAATTCCCAGCAAATTCACCCAAAGGCCAGACCGTGCAATGCTCAGAGAAATTGCAAAACAACCGAAGAGCTACATCTCAGACTCTCCAGGCCTGAGCATATTACAGTTCACGAGAGTACAAAGGCTGAACAAGTTTGGTTTCTTTGGAAGGGTTGCCAGAAGAAAGCCTCTTCTCTCAGAAAAAAAAAACATAGCAGCACAGCTTAGGTTTGTAAACTTTCTTCCAAACATGACACATCACTTCTGGAACAATGTCTTTTAGACAGACAAGACCAAAGTGAAGATGTTTGGCCATAATGCAGAGCGCCACGTTTGGTGAAAATCAAACACAGGATATGTGCACAAACACCTCATACAAACTGTCAAACATGGTGGTAGAGATGTGATTATTTGTTTTGTAGCCACAGGACCTGGGAACCTTGCAGTCATTGAGGTGAACTTGAACTCCTCTCTATAGTCAAAGTAATCCGAGTCAAATGTGAGGCTTTCTTTTCAACAGCTAAAACTTGGCCAAAATTGGGTCATGCAACAGGGCAATGATCCCAAGCACAAAAGCACATTTAGAAAAGAATGGGTGAAAAAGAAAAGAATCAAGGTGTTGCAATGGCCCGGTCAAAGTCCAGACCTCAACCCAAATGAAGTGCTGTGGTGGGATCTTAAGGGAACTGTGGCTAAACAAATACATGAAAACCCAATGAACTGAAGCAAAGTTGTACAGGAGAGTGGGGCAACATACCTCCACAATGATGTGAGAGACTGATAGTCATACATAAAACAATTACTTCAAGTATTGCTGCTAAAGGTGGTTCTACAAGCTGATGAATTATTAAGTGTACTTCGTTTTCACACATGTTTTTTCCATTTTGGCTTTACGTTTGTTAAATAAATAATTACAGTGTAATACGTCATGTGTTGTTCATCCGAGGTTGTATTCACCAAATTTTAAGACCTGCTATGGGGCAGAGGCACTGTAATTATCACAAAAATATAAGAATCTACAATACAGGAACAACAAAATTAAATGAAGCCAATCTCCCTCTTCCTTACTTAGCTCTTCTATCACAACTGTTGACTGACAAACAGCTCCAAAAAAAACAACCATACATGCTGGTGTAAAACTTGGTGTGTTCTCACCTTCATGAGCTTGGAGATGAGCAGCAATGATGGAAATGACTCTTCGCTTAGCTCAGCAGCTAGAATAAAAATGGATCATGTAAGACATTGACTCCAGAAATTCTGTACTAGAAATACCACAGTACCTTTTTATATTAAATGTTGAATGATAATGTTTTGCAGAACATTTAGAAGTATAAATGAGTCAAGCCCTTAAAGTCCTTTTTACATCATAATAAACTTGCAAAAAATAATAAGATTTTAAAAGCTGCCCATAGCTTGAGTCACATGATCTTCACATGTCACATGTGATGTCATCCTCCATTCAATTCCTGTACTGATGAGCTTGCCCCTAATGAGTTGCAGTCTACTTTATTACTCTCCAATTTAAAAGGAGTCTGTTTTGGCTGTTATTGATACAGTGCACACCACACTGAAGCTAGAGGATCAGCATGTTGCTTCTGCCAGTGCGGTTTCCATCCTTGGGTTGAGTAGAACTACTAAGGCTGCAAAAACATATCCTTTGCAACTACTTTTCTAACTCCTCTTGTACGGAGTTTGGAAGCACCCTGATGAATTGTTTGCTCCCACAAATCGCTTGCTGACTTTGCATCCACTTTGTGAGGATTTTCTTCACAAATTATCTATTCCCACTGTTTACCATCAGGCTGCATCTCCCCTCCCATGCCTGCCTGTGTGCGTACGCCCACAATACATTCTATCTATCTGTGCCCAGACCTGTATATCACCCCCTTCACCTCCCTTATCCTGCACATCTGTACATTAACCACTTCATCACCATCCTTGACCTGTATGTGACCTGTACATAAACTACTTGACCTCCTCCTTCCTCGGTGTATGACCTCTACATTTAAGGTATCTAGTGCACTATTTTCGAGTTCCATGTTTTAACCCCCTCAATGTTTATCTAAGTGGGGGAAAAAGCCATTTACAGGAGCTCCAACCATGGCATAGTGCATGCGTGCGCTCCCATGCACAGTAACAAAATAGTGGGAGAAAGATGCTTGAGTGCACACACGTGCTACTTCTCACAGAAACGGTGCCACAAGTCCTGGCTGACCGTAGAAAATGAGAAATTACAATAGTTCACATACAGCACATACAGTGTCTGGCAGCCGGCAACAGAAAAGCACAACCTGAAAGTAAAATAAAATCAGAAGGCTCCCCCATGTGGCCAGCTAGTAAACCTACATAAAGAACAGCCCAAGATTAAAAATAAAGAGGACTCCCCCCACATGTGGCCAGCTTGAAAACGTATATAAAAAAGGTATAATACAAGTCCAGTAGCAAAAACAAATGTATATTAACCCCTTCATAAAACGGCCAGTGGGCTACAGTAATTTCTGTAGCAAATATTACACATGCAGCCTCAGTATAAAACTGGGTAGTCACTGCTGACTGCATTATCATGACAGGGCAAATGTAGCTGTTAACAGTAGAAAAAACTTTCAATTCAAGCAACAAATATAGCAGGACGGAAGGATGCATACATTCTCCTGAGGACACTAAGCATAACTGAATATGTGTGAGGTGGGAGGGGTTACAGTCTGAAAGGGGCTGGCCTTCAGTTTTCCAAGTGCCTAGCGTCCATTTCTCTTGTATGCGTTAGTATAACCCTATGTTGCTTATCATCATCAACGCTGTGTCCCTTAAAGGCTGGGAGAGAATCCTATTTTTTCCCCCCTTCTTGGCTAAAGAGAATGTTTAAGAAAGTAATTCAGCTTTGAAAATATATTGCTAGCCTGTCCTAGGATGTGGTATTTAATGTCATTACCCCAGATGGCAGGATTAACTTGATTAAATAGTAAAGTAAAAACAAATGACTGTATATATCCACATGAATACTTTAAAATGCAACTTACATATGATGGCCCAGAAACTTGACGAAGTTGTGAAGAAAAGCAAATGGAAGGGTAGTCTAGTGTGTACAGCACTGGACATTGCAATACCCTGTTCCAATATGTACTGGTGCTCTATATCAGCAGGAGGAGCAATCCTCTTGTAAGATTTCAGATGATTAACTAAATTTAAAGCCTGCAAGTAGAAAACCAATGCCGCAATATTAAAAAAATAATTAAACAGGAAACACACAAACAACCATAAAGCTCTGTAGGTTTCTGATAGAAGGTCATTAAGATAATGAAATCCTCATATATCCAGGCAGTGACAGCTGATGTAGTAGACAAATGTACATCAAATATTTTTCTAAATAATGTTTTTTTTAATCAAAACTGGAGCAGACAGAATTTGGAACATTTGCTCATAGTAACCAATCAGCTTATCTCTTCAGTTTGTTCCGTTAAGCTTTGAAAATTAAAGCTAGGAGTTTATTGGTTACTATTGGCAACTGCTCCAGGTCTGTCTGCTCCAGTTTTGATATATTATATTGTATCATTATATCATTGTATAATGAATTCAAATTGTATTAACATATAAATAATATATATCACACACACAAAAAAAAATACAAGTTAATGTATAACATAAAATTACACAAATATAGTACCGATAGAAAATACTAATGCAACCTATAAATTAGGTCAATAATACCATAGTCATATTGACTTGACGAAGAATATACACTAAACATTCTAAACTTTGGGACCACTGAGATTACTTTACCTGACTTAGCTGGATATTGGTATTCTTTTCATCAGCAGCCATTATAACTTGCAAGGTCCCCTCAATAGTTTCATAATCATAAGGATCCATCTGATAGATATTTTAATATGAAGTGGACACAAGGAAACGGTTAAGTGATTTATGATGCCAGAGCAACAGAATGGTCATATGAATTTCTCATATATTTGTATTCAACATGGAAATAATGGATCGGTTAAATAAAAGCAGGTTATCATACAGCACTGCACAAACTGAGGACATACGAGATTATTACATTAACATATTTAAATAACTGCTATAAAAGGTTGTACATTGGTAAAACAATTCCTTCAAGAAAAGATTGGTTTGAGGGTTCAAAAAATTGAGACGGTAAAAGACTGAAAAATGTAATTGCATACCAGCGAAAGGAGCAGTTTAATAAAAGCCCTGGTGGTGTGAGCAAATTTGACCAAGGAGGAGGAAATAAAACAACTTAAAGTACACATGCCATAACAAAAATATGGGGCAGCCTTTCCTATGCATTTTCTAAAATTGATAGTTATATCAGCATTACAGCAAGGTAACTGGCATTAAGAGAGTGGTCAGCAATGGCAGTCTACAAATGTTTCTCATAACAGGCTTCCTTAAAAACATAAAAACAGAAAACACAAAACCTTTGCCTTGCATTACTCAATGAAAGGAAACCACATTTAAAAAACACACAATTCGCTATAGCCAATCTCCTTCTGAAAACACCCACTGCTCAGCAGTATCTGGCATCACTACTTTCTGCATCTTCCTAATCTAAATACATGCTGAGAGTCAGTGTAGCCACTGGATTGGCACTAACATTTAAAGAAGCAGTGGTAAGCAATGGTGGACAACATATTACTTTCAGAAGAGCCTGTGTGCCCCCACTGCCCTTGTTTTCTCGATGGAGCTGCTCTGAAGCACATGAGAGACTGTAGTACAAGTAAGGTTCCAGACTGCACTATAATATACAAGAAAGGTGTTATTTGTAAAAAATAAATGCTATGGTTTGGCATACAATAGAAATTTTAGGGATGCACCGATATGTCAGCCGCCGAAACATATCGGCCGAAAATGGCACTTTGGCTAAATGCCGAAAGTGCCATTTTCCTGCCGATACATCGGCCCATCCCTACTTTCTTTCTCTCCTCTCCGCTGGGACACAGAGCAGTGCCCAGCGGGGAGGAAAGTGACAGCCGACCGAGCGCCGCGTGAGGAGAGCGCTGTGAGCGGCCGGCGTCTCTCCTCCCACACCGCTCAGCCTCCTATCACAGTCCCAGCAGAGCCGTGTGGGGGCGGAGACAGCTCGCGCTGTCACAGGAGGCCGAGCGCTACAAACACTCAATGATCAGTGATTGCTTAGTGTTTGTACATAATTGAGGACATGGTATGGTTACTATATCCTCAATTATGAATGAATGGGAAGTGATCTGCATCACCACCTGTTCATTTATGACTGTGGTTATAATAAACACACTATGTTCTCATGTTATCAATGAATAGGAACACTCATAGAGGATTCCTGTTCATTGATAACAGGGGCTGCAGAAAAAGAGATCGGGGGGCTTTGTGTCCTCAATCTCTTTTTCTATTTTAAAAAGGAAATATCAGGGGTCTGTTTAGACCCCTAATATATCCCCAAAACCCCTAAAAGTAAAGAATAAAAATATTTAATAAAAAATGAATAAAAATAAAGTTTATAAAAATAAAATATTTAAAAAAAATTTAAAAATAAAAAACATTTTCGGTCTCGGCCTGACAATTTTTTTTATTTTCGTTTTTGAAATTTCCATTTCGGTGCACCCTTAGAAATTGTGTAAATAAGTGTCACAGTTTACCTTTTGCAGTATACCCGTAAGGCTTACAACTAGGTCCTGTGTGCTATTTAGCAGAGGAATGATCGATTTCGCTTTAGCCACCAGCTGAGCATGCTGTTCAGGATCGCCTGCACAATCCCCACGGTTGTGTTTCCAGCTTGAGCCAGACAGAAGCAGCGTTTCTATGTAAAGTTGGAGTGCAGCATCACTATCCAACATAAAGGTACTTTAAAAAAATTAAATACAAAAAGTGTTAAGAAATGACTATACATTCCTGTATTTGTGCAAAAGCAGCTCTTAAGTAGCTATTTACCTGCAATACTTAAGTATGAGTGCTGTATCCACACTTGAATTTTGAACTAATGTTGAAATAAGTTCCTTCTTCTGTTGCGGTCCCTGTCGGAAGACAGACTGGAAGGAGATCTGTAATATAAATAATCTGAATAAATATTTGGCATCAATATTCTGTACAAGATAAATTGGTTGAATTACTGTTAGCAAGACACTTTGTTGAGAAACAATATTCTGTATCACAATTACGTTTTGTAGCGATTATTGTAGTGATTATATACTGAAGATGAGTAGAGGCGGAGATCGTGAGTTGCTATTAAAGAAACAAGAGGGTAAATGGAGCCATGTGATAAATACCATATACCCAATGGGTTGAAACATAGATTTACAATTGAGACATGGGTTAATGTGTGAGATTTACAACCTGAGATATGGGTAATTGTTTATGCCTTTAACTTTTTAGGTGAAACTGTCTGAATGAAGAAATGGGAAGAAATGTGGAGCAACTGCAATCAAGAGATACATATGAGAATCATTTGATTTTAGAGAGGGTTAAAATTAAGTAAAGAACTAGGTCATATCCAGTGGTAGTATATAAGCAAATGAGTATTACATGTTTGTGTCTAATGAATTCTCTGGCTTGAAGAAGGGTCGTGTGTGACCTGAAACTTACCAACTGATGAAGTTGATATCGCGATTGAATAAATAAACGACGATTGGTGCAGTAATAGGAGTAAAAGCCTAAAGTGTAGGTTTTCTTATCATTTCGGCAGGTCGCAGCCTGCCTTTCTCAAGGCAACCAGTACCCAAACTGTGATTTAAATATGTGTATGATGTGATATTAGCAGTAAAAAAAAATCAGTTTGAAATATTACATAAATTGTGTCACACTTTCAACACTGGTAACGGGAGGGTGAAGCTCCAAATCCAACAAAAGATGTGTTAGCTCTTTTCAAGACACTGCAGTCAAAGCTGCAGTTATTTTATGGTAGGTCGGGTGGAGAAAGAATAGGAGGGATTTACAGGGACCAGAATGTAAAGTGTTTGAAGGAGATAGAGAATGTGCAGATAACCCTAGTGGACCAAATGGGGGATAGAGGAGAGAACAGATTTTAAACTGATTTGAATAGGCATACATAGACAACCGTTTAAAACAATTAAAACAATAACACAAAGTGATTGTGTGTCTGTATAACTGAATATGCTAGGCTTGCTAGTGCACGCATTCTTGGTAATAAATGTCCACTTAGGTTAGGAAGATCCCATGAAATAGCCAATTTCAAAGTTCAATGAAAGGAACAAAGAGTAGAAATTTATCAATTTGATTTTTGAACAAGCAATGCGTTTTGTTTTGGAAAGGTAATGTATAGAATTGAATAACCCCCTCGGGATCATAACCTAAAATCTTCCTTATGTAATTAGTACACAAAAACTTACTCCAAAGGTACTGAGCTTGATACCCCATTCAGCATCTGTAATAAGCTCTTGAAATTTCTCTCTCTCTTCATTTTCACGACATAAAAATGCCAGCTGGGCTCCAACGACAGATACTGCCTACATAAGACATGCATTAGTAGAATATTTTCAAACCAAATACAACAATAGAAATGCGGTAAATTATTCAGGACATACCAAAACCTTGTTGTAGTTTTGCCATGTGTTGTTTATGACATCCCATAACTTTGCGAAAACTTCTGTCCTGGGTAGAAGTGTGCAGTAAGCCAGTGCAAGGTTGCAATCCACCAAACGACAGTTGAAAACCTGTCAAAAAAAATGAATAGCACAAAAATTAGAAGGCTTCCATCCATTAACAGCTTGTAAAACAGCCAAGCAAAATGTTCATGTTAATGGACCCAGTAGACCTTTGGATTTGGTCAACCAGGTGTGGGCCCTAGGGTAACAATCAACACCTAATAATAATCAAATTGAGGTAACCTCTACAGACATTTCCAAACCAACCAGTGGAGTAGAAATTATTGCTTGCAATGTTATTCCCATGCCCGGGACATGCAGTTCCGGGCAGGTTTTTTTTTTTAACATGTAGCCCTGCTGCAGGTAAGCAGCGCTAAATGTAGAGCAGGGGAGCCACCGAACGTTTAGTAGTCTGATTGTCCCCCCCCTGTGTTTTTGGGGGTCCCCTGCTCCTCTGGGACCAGGGACCAGGACTTCAGGATGGAGAGCGGGGAGATGACCATTTTCTGATCTGCGGTGTGTGATCATTGAGACAGGCATTGTACTCACAGCCTTCCTGTCTTACGTGTCACAAGCTGGCTGCAGAGGAGATCGTGCACAATGCTGTGCTTCATCTTCTGTATTTGAGGGCAGGCTACATAAAGTGAACCTGCCACCTCCAAACGCTATCAAATAAGGGCTTGTTAGCCCCCTGGGTGATAGTAATAAAGTTAAGTGAAAAAAAAGTAAGAAATAATACAATTTAAAAAAATTCCCCCCGCCATCTGCATGTGAAAAAACACATGTGTAGGGCATTGTGTGTGCGCACATTGAGTGCTGCCCCTATTACACTGTGCAGCGCTCTCTAATAATAATGTGCAATAACCCTTTCGCTGCCACCAGAGTATGGCATTCGGCGGAACACAACCGCTTGCAGCTGGTGACGTCAGCATGCCATACGTCGGTGGCTTTTACCATTCTGCTATAAGTTCATGGTGACCGTGAACTTATATCAAAACGGTCCCCCTGACGGATCCATTTAAATTAATAGCAGTCATCAGCGGCTGAAAAGCTATTACTAACAAAACTTCCCGGCGGCAGCCTCTCCTCCCTGCCTGGTGCCGCTCCAGGCTGGGATCTATTTATCATTGGATCCCTGCTACTTTCCCCTGCCTGTATGGGCAGAGGCAGCAGAGATCCTACGAGAAATTGCCGGGTGGCTTTACATCGCTTTCTGTTCATTCATGAGTTTCTGAATGGGTAGAAGCAGCTCAGAACAGAGGCCTCTATCCATTCATAACTGGTTGATAGTAAATATTTACTATCACCAGTTCGTGAATGAATGGGAAGCATCTGCACTCGGTGCTTTCCATTCATTTAGTGCTGAGGCAAAGGAGATTGAGGACTCTGTGTCCTCAATTTCTTTTTCTATTTCAAAAGGGAAGTGTCAAGGGGCTAGACACTTGCAAAAAGGAGCAATTAAAAATGTACAAATATTTGTCATTTATTAACGCAACAGTTTTATCTTTTAGACTTAGTCGGAAAAGTATTGCACTGATGCTGATTTTAGTGTGCTTTTATCAATTTAATTGTGTATTTTTATCGGTTTAATATTGATTAGACAAACATTTGCACAATTATCGCAAGATCTACAAAATTAGTTAGAGCTGCAGCTAACGATTATTTCCAAAATCGATTAGTTAGCCCATTATTAAGTTCGATTAATCGGTTAATCAGTAAAATAAAATACATTTTAAAACAATGGCTAGAGTGATGGACTACTAGTTTGTATTGAGATTGCAGTCCATCACAGTTGCAAGTTTGGAGCGGTGGAAGTAAAAAAAAAAAAAAAAAGTGGTGTGCAATATAGTGAAATGGAAAGTGTAAAATTATACAGCAATGAATGCAGAATGGCACCGGCTATAGAGGACTACAAAACCCAGCAATAATACATTATACAGCACAATGCAGAATACCACCAGATATAGAGGAATACAACAAATCCCAGCAATAGTACATTACAGCTGGCGGTATTCTGCATTGCTCTGTATAATGTGCTATTGCTGGGTTTTGTAGTCCTCCATAGCTGGTGGTATTCTGCATTGTGCTGTATAATGTACTATTGCAACGATTTGTAGTCCTCTATAGGTAGTGGTATTCGGCATTGCACCACTGTATAATGTATTATTGCTGGGATTTGTTGTAGTCCGCTATAGCTGGTGGTATTCTGCATTGCGCTGTACAATGTATTATTGCTGGGATTTGTAGTCCTCTATACAGCGCATTGCAGAATACCACCAGCTATTTAGGAATACAACAAATCCCAGCAAGACATTTACACCATGTGTGGGAAAGTGCAGGCTTACCTGAGCAGTCTTCCAGCAACTTGCTTCTGAGATCGGGCCTGTCTATTGGCGGCTAACATCCCCCCCCCACGCCTGCTCCTCCTTACTTCTTCTCTCCGCGTCCCTGTGCCAATCGTGGATGTGGGTGGGTGGGCGGTGAGCGTGAGGTGGGGAGGAGGTGCAGCTTGTGGAGCATGGATGCGGGCGGGTCTGGCAGCGGCGAGCGTGAGGTGGGGAGGAGGTGCGGCGCGCAGCATGTGTGGAGCCCTAAAGAGGGCCAACCAATCGGAAGCCGATTAATCGATGATTGAAAAAGTTGACAACTTTTTCAATAATCGATTATGTCGATTAGTTGTTGCAGCCCTAAAATTAGTAGCACCATCTTTTTATTCTACCGGGCCTGCGCTTTCAGAAAATGTACGGTGTGGGGGGTCTTTTACAAAACGTACTTGGAAGGGGAAAAAAAAGGTGAATAATTGCAAAAATGGGTTGGCCAGCTGAGGTTAAAAGCGTTCCGAAAGGCCTTGGCAGCGAAAGGGTTAAAGGGTAAGTTTGCTTTCTCAAGTAATTTAGGAAAATGGAATTACCTGCTCAAATCTGGCCCCCTCTCCCTATATTTACCTTTCAGCGAACAGGCCTTCCCCTCCTACTAATTGTACTCCATACTTCCTTCTAGTGCATTGAAGATATTATTCTGTGGCAGAAGCCCCCCTAAGGTCATACTTCAGCCATGTGCAAGATGTGCAATTATGCCATTCTCCAAAAAAAATAAAATATCAATATCCCTGGTTTCTTACCTTGTGTAACAATGCCATAGATGTATCCTTAATCAAAGCTTTGGCTTTCTTTCCCATCATTGAAATAAATGTTTTCGTTTCTGCAAATAACTTTTCATCATGCAACTAGAATATTAAAAAAAAAACGGTCATGCCTACAAAGCACTAGTGCTTTGTCCCTACTTTACAATTTAGGAGTATCTATGGATAGCGAATAGTGAATAACGAGCATCCCTACAAAAGAGGCTGTAGGTCGACTAGTAGGTGATGAGTGTGGTCGTTATCTGTATAGTGGTTGGGCTGAAGTTCGACCACTCAATCACAATGGTTCTTTGGAGCATAGGTTCATGAGCCAGTCTTTATTAATACTGCATATTTATGGATTTCTTCAGAGGAACACTGACAAATGTTATTACGGACTTTCATCAATAGGTGGCACTGCAGCAGTAATCTATGATTGAAAGGGAACCCCTTCATGTTATTACATAGGTGGGATGCCAACAAAGTGGGTTTCTAGTTTCCAAAAATGCCCATTAAGGTCTACAATAAACAAAAGGGCACATGATTTATTTTTTTTGCCAAATGAGCCTGACTCCACTGTAGATAATAAAGGAGAGAAGCTTAATTTAGGTGACTAGAAGAGTAAAATTACCACTTCAGGGACCACACTATGATTACCTTAGAACCATCCTTTTATTGCAGATTTTATATTTTAATGCTACAAAAATGTTAGCTTTTCAGTAATAACAGTAGCAGGACATATAAAGCTGTTCCTAGTAAACAAAATTTTTGGATGCTAAAAACGAACCTTACACAGTGAATAAGAACAGTGCCCCATGAACATGTGTTTTAAGTATACGTTTTAGTTTGGGAAAATGCATGAAAGGGTTAGATACTCTGTCAGGTTTTTATACTTTTTTTTCCCCCTGACTTCCAGATCTCAGTGACAAAATAAGTCGTAAAGAAAATCTGCCTCTTGGGCAGTTAGGAAAATCATTTTTATGCCCGTGTTCCCATTGGAAATATTTTGCTTACTTCCTGTAACCACCCAGGAAGTGAGAATAAAATCTTCCCAAAAACCTGACAAAAGGAGGAAGGACAAACGTTACAACCCAAATCTAGCACAAACTTTTTTTTTTTTTTTAATATAGTGAGAAATGGTTAAAACTTGTTAGGTTAAAATCTAAAATGTTTTTATTATTTTCTGTCTTCCTAAACAGGTGACCCCCATTTCTTGCCCTGGTGCCACTTCAAGCACAATGTCAAATAAAGAAATACAAATCCATCGCCCATATCAATCAGTTTCTTCCTGTCATTTTCTAGTACGCTCTACAAAAGTGACTGTTTAAATCTGAATAATGGGTTTGAGCAATGCTATAGTTTTTAAGGTTTTTCTTATACATTTGCTTTTTAAATGACTGCTGAGGATAAGACACAGTACATTGGTAAAAAAATATTTTCTCTTTAAAAGCAAGTATTAGAAGTGACCATACCTTTTCAGTTAAATTAATATCCATATAATTTGAAACACTGTGCTGTAAACATGTACCAAATGCCCTTGTTATGAGCTGCAGGGTCAGTTCACACTGGCTGGACTCTTGTAAATTCTCCAGTAGTGCAATTATAGAACGTTTAGCAGGAAATAGCTTGTTTTCTCCTAAAAAAAAAAAGAAGCTGTGTTTATATATTGTATTTTCATAGTATGCGATACACAAATTAAACCATAGACATCAGTCATACGATTACGTACATTATCAAGTATTTAAAAAATTATGATTAAAAACAAAAACCTAGTTGTTGGAAGTGCTGAAGTCTCTTCAGAAACCAACACTCCTGGGAGATTCAGGTTTCTGCTCTTCAGCTGTGCTCCTTGGTTTCTCCCCACTGACCCCTATATCACTACTGTGTCCTTTAGTGTGATGGGGGTCAGCAATAGGAACCAATAAGCTCAGCTGCGGATCAGGATATTCACACAGTAGTAAGTGTCTCTTTCTGCACATTCTTCAGCAGTTGATAACTCTTCATTGCAGATGTGATTGGCAGAGTGGGCAGGTGAGTACAGGCAGTCCCCGGGTTAGGGACGTCCGACTTACGGACAATCCATACTTACGAACGGGGTCCACAGTTCTCCTAAATGTACCGGCAGCCGCCGGTACATTTAGGAGAACTGTGGCTGCAGCGGCCTGTGTCCCCGCTGCGCTCCGCGCCTGTGTTGGCAGAGGCAGCGGGGACACAGACCACTGCATTCTGCCGCTGCCCCCTTACCTCTGCTGATGTCCCGGCCTCCTCTTCCGCCAATCCTTCGATTTCCCCGGTCCGCACGATCATCTAAAATAAAACATTTTTTTAAAATTATATTATAATCTTCTGAACAAGGGGAACAGACAGCAAAACAAACCTGAACCTTCCCTATGCTATCCAAAACAAAATATAGTTTTTTTGGCTGGAGTTACACTTAAAAAATGTACCTGTTCTGACTTGCATACAAATTCAACTTAAAAGGAGAACTATGAGGTGGGTGCTTTTCACTCACCTCATAGATCTAGCCGACCTGTGGCAATGAGACTGTCACAGGCCGGCTCAGTAGATCGGGAGGTGAGCGAACACATAGCGGCGTTCGCTCACCTCTCGATCCTGTCACGGCTCTCTGCCGCGACAGGGGAGGGGCTGGATTCCCCCCTCCGATCCGCCAGCGCTGACTGGCGGAACGGACGGGGCGGGTACAGCTGGCTCTGCCTCTAGATAGGCAGAGCCAGCTGTCAGTCACGCAGCTGGGCGGATCCCGGTATAATTGTCGGGATCCGCTTCATCTCAGTATATATATACTGAGCCTAGGGTGATGGGAGGACGCTAGTTTGTGTCCTCCCGTTACCCTAAGGAGAACTATGGGGAAAAGTCTTAACCCCATAGTTCTCCTTTAAGTACAAACCTAAAGTCCCTATCTTGTATGTAACCCGGGGACCGCCTGTATATAACAGGTTCCAGTTAAATTTAGAAATTAGTTTTAGCAACTGAGCCCTTTTAAAGACGAATATAATAATATAGTATTGTTCCAGATTTTGAATACATACTGTGTAGGATTTTAACGAGTCAGTTGAATCCCCAAAATGTTCTATCATTTTTGAATCTGTTCGTAAGATCTCTAAGCTTACATTTCTAGGTCTGCTTACCTGCCCCACTCATTGCATTGGGTCCCTACTCTTAATATTGGAATATTTATTCCTGTCACAATAGCAAATGTGCCCATTCCTCTTGCATTTGGGAGAACCCACCCTTACTCTGACCAGTGGAAGAAGGGCCCCCTTACATTGGTGATAAGTGGAAAGAATGCCCTGGTGTCAGGGGCTGTTTATCTGAGACAAAAAAAAACAAACAACACAACTCTACAAGTCCTACACAACTTGGTTATGTGGAACTGAAGGACGTACACCCGAAGTGGCAACAGATGAGGCCAAAAACTCTACCAAAAGTAAAAGAGTGGAGAAACAAGGTAGCAGTCTAGCATAGTGAAAATGATGCTTGATGTCAGACAGTTGAAAGACCACTCACAGAGACAGTGACATCTGCCACGCCAGAATATGGTTGAAACCGTTCCTTAGACCGGGGCTCAAAATTTAAACTCGCCCCCTCGCAAATTGCGAGTGAAAATTGCGTGGTGGGCAAGTGGAAATGAAGCTATTGAGTCTGGCACTGTCACGGACAGAAGCAGCTGCTCGTCCAGCCATAGATCAGATCTGCAGCTCCTCCTCAGAACGTAGAGGTGACTAGGGGAAGCGTCCAGGCTGGTTGCAAATGCTCAGTGCAAGTTTTCTTTCCCAGAGAGTGTCAGCATAAGTGTTCCCTGGGCAACCCTTCATGGTTTCTTGCACCGTGGCCCTGAGGTTTCTAGTTTCATTGTAGGCGTTTGAAAACCATGAAGTATCTATTTTCTAAAAACATAAGAAAAAGCTGCAGGCAGCATTGTGCAAACTCTGGGATAAGGCTCAGATGGAATCAGCCATTGTCCAGATACGCAGACTTCATACTAGTTCCAGAGTAGCAGCTAGGAAAGTAAAATGTAATCTCAGTGCTGTATAATTAGTATTTGAGGTATGGCCGAGGTATGGCTGCTTCAGTTGGAGAATTCCCACCTTGCTTACCATAGAATATCATAATAGAAAGGGTCTAAATTCCTCTTTACTTATATATTCTGGATTATAAAACAAAATTCCAATCTTCCAGTGAGCTTCCCAATAACAAATAAATGCTTTATTCATTCACTTCGTTGCCGCTACATGGCTTTTCTATGCCACCCATGGAATGCTAAAGTGAACTACATTTCTAAATGAAGTCTGAATTAAACAGCCCTTTATACAGTTGGCAATCTTATGTAAGCAGTACCCCTTTGTGTAAATCGTCAGTCTCTTTCATCAATGTGTTGCAGATGGAGCTATAGGTCACCTCATCAGAACATACAGTAATGATGGTGTAAATGGAGGAACTGTAATTGAAATGTAGGAACTGTTCATGACAAGTAAGCATGTCAATATATCCATGTTCCCTGGTGCTGCTTTACCATCGTGGAAGTTAAAATTGATATGCAAATGGATAACTAAAGTGAACCAACACACACACACACACTGTGCACACAAAAGTACTTGCATATTCTGAACATACAGCAGGTGCTTATAAGCTGCTAGAAAGCTATTAAACTTTAGAGTCCTTGCTGTGATCTGGGAGAACTAATTATTAATTACTACATATGCAAACAGCTAGAGAGGTCAGGAGTAGCTTGTTTAAAGCTTTTTTTCACTGCTTGTTAAGACTGTGTAAACAATATATTGTCCATAGTCTAGGCACAGGCAGTGCTCATCTACATTTAGCTCTGGCTAGGAGAGCTAAATGTAGATCGGGGGAGCCGCCGCTCATTTAGTACAAGTGATCTCAGATCACTTGTAAAAAATGAGCAGTGATCTTGTCCGCCCCCCCACCTCCCCCCCGTGGATTTTGGGGTTCCCCTGCTCTTCTGGGGGACCTGGACCATGGCGATCATTTCAGGACGGAGAGAGCGGACCAGAGCGGACAACGTCCATTCTCCGCTCTGCATGATCAGTAAAACGGGAGTACTGTACTGCACAGAATCGAGCACAATGCAGATATTCTGTGTTGGAGGTGACAGGTTCCATAAGGAGAATCTGTCACCTCCAAACACTATCACATCTGGGCTTGTTAGTCCCTGTGTGATAGTAATAAAGTTAAGCGGGGGAAACAAAACTGAAAAAATGAAGTTTAAAATAATAGCATAAAAATGAAAAAGTCATTAAAAAAAAAGTTAAAAATAACAAAAGAAAAATTGATAGAACAGTAAACGGTCCTTTCCCTCCACCTGTACTTTTTGTACCCCATACTGCCGTCCAGCACAGCCCTGCCCTATGGATTTTGCTCGCAAATTGCGAGCACTTGTTGGTCCATGCTGATTAATGAGAAGCACTTCATTGTTAAAATTATTTTTTGTATCAGGACAAGCGGATTGTCATGAGGGACAAGTAGTAGTAGATTTAGTCCTTGTACAAGTAGTTTTTTAAAACATTTCCACACCCCTGGGCACACTCTCTCTTCCACTGTAATATGATGCAGTGTGTGGCTGTTATTCATATATTACAGGGGTAGTAAATTAAAATATAAGGAGGTTCAGTAAGTACATTTTCATTGAGCCAAGGTCTGAATCAAGGTCTGTACAGAACGGTCATTTAGTCTGTGCCCATTTGGGCTGCATTCACACCTGCAGCTGCTGGTGTGTATTCCCAGGCACAGTGTTGATGCGCCGATCCCGATGCATCGCACTGGTTTATTTTTGTTGGTTAAACTCACCCCCCTTTCTGTTTACATACACATGTATGCCTTACGTGCACATGGTCATTCAAATCAGATGGTGGAGGCGGCAGGGTTGGTTTTACTTTTCTTTGATTATTACTAATCATTTTTTTTTCTACTTTTTTTTATTTACTTCTCAATTTTTTAATATTAATTTACTTTATCATCTTTTTTTTTTTTACTTAATGTTTGCTATCACAAAGAGGGTAGCAATGGGCTCCTAATGTCTCCTCTGCTGAAGCATAAAGCGCTGAGAGCGGGGACCCAAAAACTACTAGGGGGGGGCGGGGTTGGGGGGTGGCATAGGAAGGGGGAAGTGGCATGAACCTGGCTACTACAAGTGATCACCCGGATCACTTGTAGTTGAGGAGCTGGCTCTGCCTGAAATATTTGGTTGCTAGGAAGTCAGCGGTTCTAGCAGCCAACTACTGAAGTAGAGGGAGCCTGCACTAAGTTATGGCTGGAAGTGGATGCACTCACCTCGGAGGCGTGTATCCACTGTTAGTCAGCCATAACCCATTGCAGGTAGTCCACCGCAGTCCGTGTCTGCCATTTAGTGACCACTGATATCTGGCAACACAGAACATTAGAGCAAGAAGCAGTATTTTCACAAAGAGAAAAGGATATTTTTAAGCATTTCCAAGCAAAAGTCAGTCACATATACGGTAACTTACAGAACTATAACAGAATAAAAAGGAACAGGACTTCAGTTGAGCTTTAAGTAAGCATGATGTGCACCTGAGATAAACAATGTTAAGGGGATTAAGAAATACTGGAGCATGCTGAAAAATGTGCTAACTTCTACAGTAAATGCCTGCTTAACCCCTTCGTGACGGGAGACGTACACTGTACGTCCAGCCACAAAGGGACCAAATGACTTGTCACGTACACTGTACGTGACGAGTTATTTGCTGCTTTAGAGGGCTGTTAATCGCTGAGAATCAGCTTTTAACATTCATTAATGGATGCCCTTACTAGAGGCATTCATTAATGAAAGGGTTAACCTTTTTCAGACACCCGATACCTTAATATCGGGTGTCTGAGAGTCACAGCCGAGCGGACACAGATGCCAGGTTTTGCCGGCATTCTGACAGCTCGTATAGATCGAGAGATATCTCTCTCAAGCTATACTGGCAATTTTTTATGTTTTTTTCCTCTTTTTTTTATATTTTATTTGTCCTAAGTGAGGCGTTAGACACACATATGTGATATAAATATGTAGCCCTATCTGTCCTCTACAAAACAATATATAATATGTGTGGGTGCACTTTGTAAGAAAGTATATTACTGACGTGGAAGAATCACACAGCAAAAATGTCAAAAGTGTGTCAGTCATTTACGAACAGAAACTAAAAACAAGCTCAGTCATGAAGGGGTTAATTAGCATGGCCTGCAATACATTAATAAAGTTGTGCACACCACTCAGTTTGTGGTATGGTGGCGCATTAGTCAAGTATGCTTACTCTGGCGTGTGCCAAAATGCTGCCACAAATCTGAGGTAATCTTCCCATTGGGATCATCCTAAATTTCTCCTTCTCCTTTTGTTCTGCATTGCTGCATCTGGCTGACCAGATCTATATCTGTTGATTTGTCAATACTGTAGTGAGGAGGGGTGATGGCAACACTGGTATTGATGTATATTTTAGAAAGGTTTTTAAATAACAGTGGCTCAAGTGTTTTATTTTTTTGGTGCACGCAATTGGACATTTATAGAATTAGCGTGGCTAGTGCAACACAACACAGAAATTGTATTAACATTTTTAATTTGTCGCACGGAAAATGTGCCGATATTTACACCTTAAAAACTACATATTTCCCTATGATGATTACCCAGTGTGTTCAAAACCCCTTTTGCACTTGAGTGGTATCAGTGAAAGAATTAAAAGCAACATTAAATAATAGATAATGGGGGGAATTTATTAAAGCAATTGCGACAGTTTTAGCCTTTTAGATAATTTTTTTATGTGCAAATCTGTCTTTTAACACGTGCCCCTTTTTTCACCTGAGCTTGCACTACTTTTCCAACTGCACGTGTTTTGCACCTGTTTTGACCAGAGCTTGCACTACTTTTTCAATTGCATGTTTTTTGCACCTGTTTTCATCTGCACTTGTTCTGGGCTGTCTGAAACTGGAGCATCACCTAAGAAAACAATCACAAGTCCCCATGACCACTTCTTCAAGAAGCGACAGTTAAGCTTTTTGCCTGAAGTTACAAGTCTTCTTTCCTGGAGTCTATTAAACCTCATTTATCAACAACATTACACTAGCAACATAAATCTGGTGCAAATATATTCCGTGCAAGTTCAAACACTTGCAATTGCTATGATAAATTCCCCCCAATGCGTTTTCCCCACAATACCTTTAGTGCATGGACAGGTAGCCAGATTTGCACAATCCATAGGATACATCTTTTTACCTGTAAAACAGTAAAAAGTGAAGGATTAATCAGCTAAAAGGCTACATCGGATCCCAGATTAGCACTGTAAATTACAATAGTCACCAGACTAAACATTACAGTAACACAATGATGTGATCATATGTAAATCAACAGAACAAAGACACAAGAACTTTAGCTTAATAGACTTTAAATAAAATGACACATTACCAGCTGTGCATGGAACAAAAGCTGTAGCTAAATCATAAGCAACTGGCAAAACCACCAAGGAATCCAGGACAATTCCATCTTCACTGAAGAACTCATCATAGGTCCATTCTTTGTAACAATCTCTGTCACCTCCAAAACTGGCATTCTGTGTAAAAAAACATACATCTGAGATATACAATGTGTGTGTATATAATATAATATATACACTGAGTGGCCAGATTATTATGACCAGCCCATCAGTACTTCGTTGGTCCACGAGATGACTTCGTTGGGCCGCCTCGTGACTCCACGACATGTTGAAAGGTGATGCAAGGAATCTGACACTGCACTGTTGCCCTTCTGTTGTATTGTACCAGTCTTGCCACTCTCCGTTCTGCCCTAACATTGATTAATCGCTGACGGCCACAATTCGCACGTTCAGACCCCGATTTTCGGCTGACAGTCCAGTCTTTAAACACTTTAACAACAGCTGCTCTTGAACATTTAACAAATTCTGCTGTTTTGCTGATACTCGCTCCATGGCTTGAGCGCCAACAATCATCCCACGTTCAAAGGCTATTAAATCGCGTTGTTTACCCATATCTTCAGAAAAAAAAAAAAATCACTTCTACTCTCGTGGTAAACAATCTGTTTCCCTATTTATAATGGTCTGGCCCTCTAGCAACTTCAGCGCAAAATTATAGCTAATTTGCCTAACGTCAGGTGGTCATAATAATCTGGTCACTCAGTGTATATATAAATAAAAACACGTGATTGTTTATATAGGTTTATAAGGTTTGCCAGAGAAATGCTTGGTATGTTTTAATGCCTGGCAAGTGCTCCCCAAAAGCCTGTGCCCAAAGGGTGTTCATGTAGCTGTATACTTCGAGAAATAATGATGTTGCTGCAGGTGTATAAGGTCCTGTAAATAATCACGTTCTATGCAGGATAGAGGTGATGACACTGAGGAACATTCCAATGCTGCAGTGTTTAAGGTGACAGGCTTCAGTGTCTGAAGAAGCAGGTAGCTGGCTCGGGTGGGTATAACTTTTGTTTTTTTAGCACCTAGACAAAACGAGCACTTAACTTTTGCAGTGTGTGGGTAGCCACTGCAAGGGTTAAGAACACTTTTGCTCTGAATTCTTCTTTAAGTTAAGTACACTACCTTAGTCAAAACATTTAAAAAAATGGCCAGGCTTGAAACAACAGGGAACTGTCCCTCGCACAAAAGTGCTGCCAATATCAAAACCCCCATAGTGGAGGTGATAGCGAAAAGGAAGACCACCATGTGCGTAAGATGCACCAAAAGATATATTTCTAATAGGTTCAAAAGGAGCTTGCGAGAGAGATGAAAGAACCAGATTGAGATCCCACGGCATCACCAGAGGGTATCTAGGGGAAGGACACATGAGCAACCCATTACACAAAGGCCTTTACCAAGGAATGAGAGGCCAAAGGATGCCTAAGATCTATATGTGTCCCTTAAGAGTGCTCAGAGCAAATGCTGATCCAGTCCTGACTGAGGGACAGCCAAAACCTGTCCTACTAAGTACTTCCAAGAATGACACCTCTACTGCTCTCACCAGTCAAAATAAGCTGTCCAGGTGTGATTGTACACCTTGTGATAGGTGACTTTCTAGAATACCTCTATCCCTCAATCTGGGATTTAACAGCCAAGCCACCGAAGCCAGCGACCGAGAAGCAAGATGGAATGAGTACAAGACCTAGAGACAGAAGGTCCAGATGGTCTTGAAGTGACCAGGGGGAGTTAGTCGGAAGAAGGATGTCCACATACCACACACTTCTGGGTCAAGTGGAAGCCAAAAGGATCACTGGAATACCCTCTGCCTTAATCCTTTGAAGCAGATGAGGAAAGGTCCTCCAGGGAGGAATGGGGTAAATCAGAAAGAACTGATCCCACCGAGTCAGAGTGAAGGCTCACAGATCCCTGGATGACAAACCTGTCCATTTTATTGTCTGGATGCCAGTAGATTCATGTGTAGCACCAGCAAATCTCCTGAAATACTTTGAAGTGTAGAGACCACTCCCCCAAATCCAGCCTGTGCTGATTGAGAAAGTCCATCTGCCAATTGTCTACCCCTGGACTGTGCATGGCGTTCAAGGCCTGGACATGAAGTTCTGCCTAGGCCATGATCAGGTTTACTTCTCTTTGAGCAGCACAACTGGTTCTTCCTTGATGGATGTACCCCATGGACGCGGTGTTGGGAGACTGGACCTTCGGTTGGCCACCCCTTAAGCACGTCCAGGGCTGCAAGGAGAGTTGAATTGCTCTACTCTCCAGTACATTGATAGACAGTCTGAATTTACTCATTCCCTATATAGTTAAAGGAGAACTATGAGGTGAGTGCTTTTCACTCACCTCATAGTTCTAGCCGACCTGTGACAGTAGTTCTCCTTTAAGCAAAATTCTCACTTTGGCTGACAGATGCATCGAATGGTCCAGAGAATAAGTCTCTCAATGTCCCATGCAGCTAAGATGCTCAGTTTAAGTGGTCTGGAGTGAAACTGAGCATAGGGTGCTGCTTCAAAAGGAGGCTACTATCAGGAACACGAACATCCTGAACCCTCATGCAAAATCTTATTGAGGGCTGTTTAGTAGCAAGGTAGAAGAGCATGATCATAAGAGGGGTGGGGACCTATCTCCTTCATTGGACTCCAAGTCAAAAGTCTGATCCAGAGACAATTTCTGAAGGCTCAGTATCTATCCAAATCTTTGCAATGGCCTGACATTAAAAAATATGTTATTTGACAGAACCCTTGCCGACTTCCCTCAGGAGGAGGGCATCTAAGTATCCCACAATCGGGTTGCCACGAGAACGCAACCGGGCCAAAATTTAGGCCTGCACTTTTGCGAATACTCAAGGTGCGCGGAGAGTACGAAAGACAGTGCACTAATCCTAGAAAGCATTGGAGTGCTGTAAAGATATTCCAACTGGGACTTTGGGCTTGAATGCAAACATTTAATGTGTTAAGGGTCCAAAATGTGACAAATGCTCACTTTGGGTTTTAGAACAGTGCACAAGTTTGAGTGAAACCTCTGAATGCACAGGTTGGAGTAAATCCCTTAAATCTGTTATATAGCAGGGACTGGGGCAATGGCACCTTGATCCAGAAGGCCCATTTGAGATCTGCTAGGCTGTGTGGATAAATAGGTCAGAAGTAAAAAAAAACAAAAAAAAAACAACACACAAGGAAAGTCCAGGAAACCAAAAGACAATGACACCACCTTCTGCACCACGTCAAATGGCGTGCAACTTGACCAAATGTCCTTTAAGGTCAACAGACACTAGCAAAAAAAAAAAAACCCCAACAGAAGCATGTTTGCAGGAGCTTTACTTTTTGCTGACCTACAGTTTTTTTCTTTCGTTGTCAGTGTCCAATCCTTCTGTAGGCAGCAGAATAACTAGAAGGTTTAAGACTTTATGTCCCGGTGAGTCAAAAAGTTAAATCCGGGACCATAACATTTACAGCTGAGGCAAAAAAAAAACAATACACAAGCAAAGCCAGTAGCTTCCCCGCACAGGCTAATCGTTTTATGTGGTAAAAACAAAAAGGTCACAATAAAAAAAGAAGTCAGAAAAATGTTCCAATAACCCCAAATGAGTACTTGAAAATACATTGCAATCTGTTGTGAGCTGGGGAATAGGGAGCGGGTGCAATTGCTCCCTGGGGTGAGCAATCTTGCAAGGTTTAGAGACCAGACCAGTGACTTTACTTCAAACAGTGTTACATTTATTGGTGCAACACACAGGCTATATACAGTGCTCAAAGAAAGTAAATACTTCAAAAACAAAATCCTAGCCGTGTCCCGGCACTAACTAAACATACGATAGTCCTGACTACCAACCTGTACAAACCTATTGTTTGCCAGGCTTCAGCAAAACACACTGACCAACCTTGTGCTCCAGCAGATAGAGACTGTCTGCTCCCCAGGCTCCAGAGATGTCTGTTGGCCTCACCTGCACTAAATTGCCACTGAGGCAAAGCGTAAAACCTGGGGCCTACTATAGGTTCCGGAAGGTGTAAGAGAGGAATCTGGGCGACACATAAACCCCGGACAGGACCTCTCCTTGCTCTCTACATGATGACCTGCTACACTGTATTTCAAATGGTGTGCCTGCTGTGGTGCTCTCTTCTACGGGCCAAAGAATCATGTTAAAAAATGTGCAGATTCCTTACTGTGCTGTATCCAAGGAGAAAGCCATATACACAGTTTTATCTTAAAGGCCTAATGACAGAATACACTAAAAATGTCCCCTACATACACCCATTTTGCTTACATCATGAATTCTGTATGTACCAGCATGTGTGTTTTAGAAGATGGAGCTCTGGTATTCAGAGGCAAGAACCCCGACTTGGGCATCTTGGATTACTAAATGTAAATTTGAATTAGTTATGTTGATTTACATGCTGGTTTCCCTACAAATACATCTGGTTGGATAGAAGGATGGAGAGGCACATGAGAACCATTATCATACAGTGATAATAGTAAAGGGAATTTATTACAACTGGAGCAGACACAATTTGCAGCAGCTGTGTATGGCAGCAAAAGCAGCCTCTCTCTCTATCTCATTTTCAAATCTTAACTGAACAATCCGAAGAAAGAAGCGGATTTGTTGTCATGCACAGCTGCTCCAGTTTTTTTTAAAGATTAAACGTTTATTAAATTTTTCACGTTATATTGGCATACAATCAACTCAAAGCAAACCAAATACAATAAGGGAGAGAAGGAAAAGGGGGAGGGGGGAAGGGGGACCATCTTGCCTGTATCGCATAGGGGAGGAGCGTCCGTATCACAAAATATAGACAGTAGAGGCATATGCAATGTTATAGAAAACCCAAGGTGACAGCGATCCGTAGACATGCTAATATACAGTACGGAGAGCGTGTGCTCTAATGAGAGATCATGAGTAGAGATGGCTTAGAGAGAGCACATGATGCGATCCGTGGCTCCTGGGCGGTCTATGAGATTTTAGAGCACAAGTGATGTCATGGCGAAGTAAGCCTATTCAGGTATGTCATCGTATGTTGCTTTTGCGGTACATTGCGAGGTAGAGATATCGATAAGGAGGGTTGTCAGCCTGAGAAGGGAGCTGAGATATACAGAGCATCGAGGGGGGACGGAGGGTAGGGAGAGATATGTAGAGAGGGAAAGGGGGGAGGAAAAGAAAGATGAGAAGGGTTATGGAGAACAAGCTCATAAAGGCAGTATGGGGAGGGTGGAACGTGTCTGGGGATCAAGGTAGTTAAGTTCCAGGGTGTACAGCTCAGAGGTCTAGTACGTCAGGGCTCGGGGCAGATCTGGATTAGTCTGTGGTTGGGCCTTGGTGAAGGATCCAGGGGGACCAAATCGAGGAAAATTGGGAGTTCCGATCATATAGTTGGGCAGTTAGTTCTTCCATGTGCATTATCTTATTAAGTTCGGTTTTCCATGAGCTTTGATAAGGATTTCGGATTTAAGGCCAAAAAAGTGTACTCTGCAGAGTACGTCACGGGGTTGTGAGTTATTGGGCCTGCGAAATCCTGGGGTGCGGTGGACCCGGTCAATCTCAACGTGCTCTGTCACCGGTCTACCCAGAATAGTATTGAAAATCCCCATGACAGAGGCCTGGAGGTCCGAATCACTAGTAGCTTCAGGCAGGCCCCTTATCCTTATGTTATTGCGGCGACTGCGGTCCTCAAGATCATCTAAATGCATGTAAAGATCCGCAATATGGGAGTGCTGGGCTACCACCACAGAGTGGAGTTCTTCCACAGCCGTAGTGATAGGAGGGAGAGAGGTCTCAATAACATCCAGGCGGGAGTGAAAGGACTGCAGGCCCTCACGTATCTCTCTCATGTCAGTCTTATGGGCCGATTCTAGTTTGGTTAACAGGGCCTCAATATCAGCTTTGGTAGGTAGTAACTGGAGACAGCTCTTGAGAGTAGAGTGGGGCATGTCAGCGTCTAGATCCTCCTCAATGTCAGACCCATGAGGGCCCCTGGGCGAGGGAGAGTGTGCAGACTGTAAGGACTCACGTGGAGAGGAGGAAGGAGCCCCACGCTGCGTCCCAGCTCCATTGGCGGCCATGATGGATTCGTCCGGCGGCTCAGCAGAGCGTTGGAAGAAGGACGGGATCCGCTGCGAGGCGGCCGTTTTGGAAGCCTTCTGCTGCGTGCCGTTTCTCCGGGGAGTATTGGGACCCATCAGTGAAGAGTGCAGGCGAGTGTGATCGGTTCTGGCTGTATGTTAATCGGGTCGGCTGCGGGAGCTCTTAGCAGACACGTCCGCTCACCGACATCAGCGCGCCACGCCCCCCAGCTGCTCCAGTTTTGATAAATTCCCCTCATGGTAATTATAAAGCTTTGCAAAAAATACAACGTATGCATGATAACATACATGAGTTAATAAACTGTAGGGAATTGCACAATAAAACTCACTTTGGCAATGAAACCATAATCTTCAATATGACATTGCCTGTAAAGCTCCATAGCAATATTTGTATATTTACAAATTTCCAAAGCATCCAACAAGAGATCTGTGACATAAGAAAAAAAGAAAAAGAACATCTGATATCATGTTTAGGCTGATTTTCTCACGCAGTATAAGTAAAACTTTCATTTTATATTTCTTATAATACAAAGTGAATCTGAACTGCAATTCAATACATTAATAACACACATTAAATGTCGCTTTACAGGGTTAGCATTTATCTTTAAAATACGCAATATTACCAAGTAATTAAAATCACCTGCACTCCATACAGCATACAGACCTTAATGGAAGGTTGGTGCTTGAAGTGACAACACGGATGGCGCCCTGTCAGTCCATAATAGAAGTCACCAGCACTCGATATGTGCAAGAAGTAAAGCACTTTTTATTAAAATTGTCACATGCGTCATACAGCCAAAGTTTCGGGGCCACGCAGGGTCCCTTCTTCTGGGCGACATAGTGACGTCGCATGGAGCCGGCTTCCCGGCCAATCAGGAAGTCGGGCAACGTGTAATGACTTGCTGCCTGGCTTCCTGCTTGGATGATGTCATTACACGGCGCCTGGTTTCCTGATTGGCCAGAAAGCTGGCTCCATGCTTTCTCGTCACCTGGTGACGAGAAGCATGGGTACGGCTTCCCTGCTAATCAGGAAGCCAGGTGGCGAGTCATTACACGCCGCCTGGCTTCCTTAATGGGACTTCCGGTATCTGTTTTCGGTATCAGTGAGTACAGAAAAATATCAGTACTCAATACTGAAAACCGGTATTGGTGCATCCCTACTGCAGATGTTGTTACCATCAGTAGACATGGTGCAAAAAGACCCAGAGCCATTAGTAGGGCGTGGGCTGGGCGCACCAATTACAGCATCCCCCCCACACGTGTCCTTTTCTAGACATGGGGAGAGGTTGTGTACCTCTCCCCATGTCTAGAATAGGACGTGTTATGACTGCCTGTTGATAAGGCAAAAAAGTAAGATCAAAGGTTTCAGGAACTCATGAAACCAAGACAGCGGGAAGCAGGTAGGGGCAGATGGCTGAAGGGGACCAAAGTAGCTGTAAGCGGTAATGGATCGAAGCTCTTTGCAAGCAGGAGCAGCAGCAGCAGAAGCAGCGAGATGCCTCCTTTATGCATATAACAGAAAAGAGCAGAGAACACGAGCGCCACACTCCACCTAGTGGAGATGACATCTGTGGGAAGACAGTGGAAAATAGGTAATTTTAAAAGGGCCCACCTACCTATGTAATATTTAAGTTGTTCCCAGTGTTCAGAACAACTGTCTTACACACTAATTGGGTCTAAAGAGCAATTTTTGAGGCAATGCCATCAGCTCTCAACCTGGACTGTGCTCAGCAGCTAACTTTTACCATGGAGTCTTTAAAGTGCCCAATGGTAACCCAATGCCTGAAAGCCATTTACATGCTATCCCTGCAACATCCAGTGAAGAGAGGGCATTTCGAAAGCCAGGCTGAGGATGGCTGCGCTGGATAGCTGCAATGGGAGAGACCAGCTCTAGCAGTGATGTAGAGAAGAGTCTTGTTTGAAGAAGAAAATTCTTGAAAAGGAAAAAAAAAAAAATACACCAGCAAAAAAAGGGTAGTATTCCACACAGCAAAGTTGGAAAACACCATCCTCCTAGGACGTGGGGGCATAATGATAGGAGGGGGCTTCCCTGGACTTGGTCTACAGTTTGTTTGCCAGTGTCCAATCCTGTAGGCGGCAGCATAACCGGAATGTGGAAAAAAAGTCTCATAATGGATAAAAAGAAAGAAAATAATTTAATTGGTGTTTTTGAAGCTGCCGGGAGTTCAGCTTTAAAGGCTTTACACATTTTTTTATTTAATTGAAAAATGGTAATCTGAAGAAGTTCTGCCCACAAGAACTAGATATGGTATCACAATACAAACATACACTACAAAAGAAGACAAAAAAATCTTATTTTTAACAAGTGATTCAGAAGAATTAACAGTACTCACTGTAAAACCCTTTTCTCAGAGTCCATTGAGGGACACAGCTTGATAGTAAGAAAGCTAGGGTTATATTGCCGCATAAAAAAAGTAATGGACACTAAGGAGTCATAAAGAGAACAATAACATAAGAGTGGAGATAGCTGTGTCCCTCAATTTGCTCAGTGAACAGGTTTTTTTGGCAAAATAAAAATCCTATCTTCTCTATCATCCAGTGAGTAAACACAGCTTGATATCAAGAAACGCAAAGTCATCCCAAAGAACAGCAAACAGAGGGGTGGGCACACACAAATGTCAAAAGGTGACACAGCTCAGCAATAAATAAAACAAAAAGGGAAACTGAGGGCATGAAATAGCAGCTTGCAGAACCTTTCGACCCATACTAGCATCTGCCAAATAATTGGTTCACCAGCGCCACAGATTCTTGTCAAAGAACCCAGCAAAGACAGTCTTCTTACAGGGTGGCTGCACCTCAGCAGACAGGGAAACTAGCTATTCATCTGCAAGAAATCAAAGAGCGCCCTACCCTGCGTTCTATCAGCTGGACGGATTACTCTCCAGCAGCCTGAATATCGTGTGGCGTTTTTATGAACACTGTCATTCAGTCACTCTTTGTAATAGTCTGCAAATGGTGCTCTCACAATTGTTGTTTGTGAGTATGTTTTTATGTTTTTCATTTAAAAAATAAAACGATAATACACAGGGGAAGGCACTCTTGAATTTATTTCATACTAGCATATGCAGAGGTAGATACACTGACCTTGCAGAACTTATAGAACATATGTTCAGAAGACCAGATAACAGCTTTACAGATCTAAAACACAAAAAGTCCATAAAAAACACTTACTGCCCTAGGACAGTGAAATTTACCAGGAAAAGGGAGACACTGCATCTCGCAAGTCATAGGCCTGTCAAATAACCGGTCTAATTCACTTCGGAAAAGTGGAAACCAGAGAACCTCTTTTATCACCACCTGTAACAACAAACAGGGAACCAGTCTAATGGAAGCAATGGAGAGAGATCTGCCTAGGGAAAACTGCTGCTGGACATAGGGGAGGTGACACAATATGCTCATTAAGGTGAAAAGCAGAGACCACATTAGGGAAAAAGGCTCTCAAAACAACATTACCTATATGTAATAAATGGGGGCTACTTACAAGGCAATGCTGATAAGTCAGAAAATATTCTGGTCAAATGGATGGCCACAAAAATGGCTACCAGATGGCATAACAACATTAAGTAGAAGGCCCTGATTAGATTTAAAGGGGGTTGTTGTAACACAGACAATAGTAGATTTAAAATCCATGGTTGGAGTAGTGGCCTTTCTTTCTGGGATAGCAATGTATGCAACCCTTGTATGCTAGTATGAATCAGTGATTTATTAAGCAACAGGACATTGGAAAATAACATACAGGGCAGACCCCTGATGACACCAAAGGCCAAGTGTTGTTCTACCCCTAACTGAAGAAAGGAAATAACACTACCCACCGAAATGGTATGTGGGAAAACCTCCAGAGACACACGTCAATGAAAATATGTTTTCCATCTTTTATGATAAATCTTGCAGGAATTAGATTTAGGAGCTTTAAAGGAGAACTATGAGATGAGTGATTTCCACTCACCTCATAGTTCTAGCTGACCTGTGACAATGAGACTGTCACAGGTCGGCTTAGTAGATCGGGAGGTGAGCGTACACATACCGGGTTCGCTCGCCTCTCGATCCTGTCACGGCTCTCTGCCGTGACAGGGGGAAGGGCTGGATTCTCCTCTCCCCGCTCCGATCTGCCAGCGCTGACTGGGGGAACGGACGGGGGAGGGGGCGGGTACAGCTGGCTCTGCCTCTAGATAGGCAGAGCCAGCTGTCACTCACGCAGCTGGGCAGATCCCGTCATCTACGTCGGCATCCGCTCCGGCTGCCGCGTCTCAGTATACCGCGAGCTGTAGCTCGCGGTATACTGAGCTTAGGGTAACGGGAGGACGCTAGTTTGTGTCCTCCCGTTACCCTAAGGAGAACTATGGGGAAAAGCACTGACCCCATAGTTCTCCTTTAAGTATGGTTGGGATAACTGAATCTGAAATACCAGTCTTTAGGAAATTGGCTTTCAGCAGTTAGGCCTTAAAGGCCAGTGGACGAGAGGTAGGGTAGAAGATTGGTCCTCTACCCTGAGACATTAGATCTGGCCAATCTGGTAGGGGCCACAGAGCGTAAGCTAACATACAAATTAGGTCAGCATACCACACTCTCCAAAGCCTATCCAGAGCTGTTGGAATGGCTAGAATACCCTTGGTTTTGTGTAGGTAAAAGGAAAAAAAAATATGCGTAGATCAGAGCATACTGATCTTAAGGTGCCATCAGGGCATCTACATAATCTGCCATCAGGTCCTGCATCCTGGAGACAAATGTGTCCAGTTTCATATTGAACTGAGAAGCTAGCAGATCCACAGCTGACATCCCAAAACGCAAACATTGAACACCTACTGATGAAAAAACCATTCCTCCAGGTCAGAGAAAATCTGTCTCTACCCCGGGAATGTGCACATCAGAGATCACCAAAACATGCAACTCTGCCGAGAACAGGATAGATTACCTCCATTGCTGCCACATCACTACTGTTTCCTGCCTGATGATTGATGTAAGCCACAGCTGTGGCACTGTCTGACAGAACCCAGAAAGGATGACTGGTCAGAAGGGGGGTCCGGTGGAGCAACAACAGACTTATTGTTAGTAACTCTAGGAATGGAAGCTTTGCTTTTTCCAGAGACCAACAGCCTTAAACACACAGTTGGTCTAAAACGCTGTTCTAATCCAGAAGACTGGTGTAGTTTGTGACAAATATTCAGTGCAATGGAAGAAAAACTCTGTCATCTCACAATGCTGTTGGGAACAGAAGCCACCATGACAAACACATCTTGGTTCGAGGATGTAACCAGATCATTTTGTATAGAGAAAGACTGGATTTGTCACACACTGAGAATGTTCCGCTGCAAAGTTCTGGAGTGAAACTGACCAAATGGGACCACTTTGAAGGTGGATACCATCAATAACAGCTACCAGCTCTCATACGTAGCTTCACAGGAAAGATGGACATCAGGTTGTAGTTGCCGAGCCATATCCTGCAACTTTTTCAACTCCTACCGGGGCAGGGAAATCTTGGCCTGAAAGGAATCAAGAAGGCCTGTATACTCAAAGCAAAGTGAAGGAATCAGCAATAACCTCTCGAAGTTCAGGATCATTGCAAAGTCCTCCAAGGTCCACATCGTGATTGACATAAAAAGGCCATGATCAGAGAGGTCTGCTCTCTAGTTTCACAGCAACTCATTCTTGGACACACTGTTCAGGAAAAACTGGGAGCACAAAACCTAAATATCCTGGCCTCTCCTCTTGAAACTATCCTAAGCACATTGGCTACCCCTAAACAAATGCTGTACCTGTACTGTTTACAGAAGGGGTGGAATGTTCAACAGAATATATTCCATTCTGAACTTCTGAAGATGTACAAAGGCATTGAGAGCAGTTCAAAACAAGATGGGATGAATGCCTCCCTCTGGGGTTCAGAACTGTTAACAGGTCTAAATAAAAACCTTGAACTTTTTCCTTTGGAGGAAGAGGAGTAATAACCCCCTGGGTCATGGTTAATGCCTAGCCAGAGAGTAAAACAGCATGCTTACACTTTACCTGACAGCCCTATTGAAACAAAATGGAGGGGTTGCTTAAAAAAAAACAAAACACAAAAAAAACTTAAAAAAGGAATATAGGCAAATACAGAAAAAAGATGAGATCTCCCCTTCACAAGAACCAGGCCAGATAAAGTCTCATCTATGGAGATAAACACAACTTGAGGGAAATTAAGAGGAAAATTCCTCAACACATCACAAAAAGTGAGTCTTCAGAGAGGGTTAGGAAAAACTGCCACAGCTCTGGTCGCGATAGCTTGGCAAGGGATCCCAAAATAAACTGAACTGAAAAGTTGAGTCCTGTGGTAATGGAACACAGATGGGTTTTCACTGCCAACTGCAGGACCCTCACAGAAACAACAGTATACCTAACCCTGCGCTCGTTGGTTAACTGGAGAGATTTCCGGGATTTACACTATCCAGCCTGAATTTACCAGTAGCTGCTGTTAGTAAAAAAAAAATAATAAAAAAAAATCTTTCAATCCAAGCAGAAAATATAGCGGAAAAGAAAGACACACATTCTCCTAAGGGCACTAAGCTAAACTGAGCAGGTTTGTTGTGGGAGGGGTTATAGGCTTAGAGGACCTTCAGTTTTCTATGTGCCTAGCGTGGCACAAGATCCCCCCCAGAAAAATTTCGAACAATTAAGCTGTGTTCCTTAATAGACGATAGAGAGGTAATATATCTGCCACTATCATTCAATGCCCTGGCAAAGGCATTTCATTGTGCTAGTCATTACCTGGACTGCTTATTGTGGCTGCCTGACAAGATAACTCATACGTGACTGCAGGCAAATTCACCCCAGGAGATATTACCATTGGCGTATTTGCTTCCAACATTTGGCACAATTTCTGGGAGACAAGGAAAAGTAACCTTCCAGTTTGAGAATTACAGTGATGTTCATACAGGTCCCTAAAAAAGATATAACAATGGAGTAAATACAGCAAATTGCTTAAGAAGCATACACAGGTTTCATATCTTTCAACACAGTGTACAGTATTTCCACTTTTGCAGTCAAATTTGAGAAACCCCTCACTATGTTTTTGCTATGTGTTCTCATTCATGCAGCATACCTAAAAATAACTATTTGTTTCTTTAGAGCAGGATTATACATGGGACTCTATGGGCAGTTTCTAATGCTCTCAAAACATGGCAATGTACAGATAAGTGACAAGACTGAGACACAATGGATTACCATACAATGGAGATGATTTAATAAGGCATTTGCACTATTTTTCTAGCAGCATGGTCCCTTTAAAAAGTCCTGTGCCTAACACATAAAAAAGCCTTGCAAAGTGACACAAAATTCAGGAGTTACATTTTAAAAATGCATTCATGTACCTTAACTATTAACAAAACTGTAGCTTACAGTTATGTCCAGAACAAGAGGTAAGGATAATTCCAGTGGGGAAATCTGTTTATGGGACAACTGTCTAAAAGAGGAATTCCCCTCACTAATTTCCTGTTGTGTCTTTGGAACAAAAAGTAGAGAGAAATTTCCACAATGGTATAGACTGCAGATAAATAACCTGGCAGGGGGATTTATCTCTTTCGACTGTATATCCAAAGCAAAATGGTTGCAGATACACTTTGAATATAATAGGGCTGCAACCAACTAATCAATAAGGAGAATAGTGGTCAACCATTCTCCTTATCGATTAGTTGGTTGGATCCCCTAGTTCTCTCCTCCATGATGGGAGGAGGGCACTGCAAGCAGTGGGCGGCGTGCAATAGCCAGTCTGCTACTGGCTATTGCAATTTAAAATGGCAGATAGCAGGCTGGCTATTTCACCAACCCACTACCTGCTACCTGCTGTAATTATATTCATACAGTCTGCGGAATCTTGCCCCTTGCCGCTGTTGTTCCCTGGCTGAAGCTATTCAAGCGCCATGTGCTTACAATACAATTATAAAAAAAAGGTGGGAAAAAAAGTCATTTTCGGTTTCGGCCTGACACATTCTGCTGCGGGAGGTGCTTTGCAGTGCCATTAATTTAAATGGCACTCTAAACCCGCCTCTCGCCCACAGTGTGATTGCCCGCACTGGAATGCACGGTACAGTAATGCTGTGCTTCCCAGTGCAGTGCGATTGCAAAATATTATGCATGCAGTTTTATTCTGAAGTAAGCTTTATTTATAACTGCATTTGTGCATTTTAAAAAAATTGATGATGGAGCTTTATTTATGTGATTTAATCGAAAAAATACATCGGCCAACCAATCAATTTTGAAAATAGTCATTAGTGACACTAGACGATAATAAAATAATTTCCCGTGTATTTCTACATGCAGTTCTAGATTTTATTTGAACATTGCTATATGTACACTCAGGCAATTTTGTGTCACTTATGGTGAATTCATATAGACATGGAGAGTAATCTTCTGGACTATGACTTTTGAGACCTTCCTGTAACCATTAATATTTACCTTTTCCGCAGGTGCTGTATTATGCAGGAGGTGGAGTGATAAGGTACCTCAAAGCGACACTAAAAACTCAGGAGATAAATCTTAAAAATGCATTCAAGTACCTTAACTATTAACAAAACTCTATTTGTGTATCACACGGGTGTAGATCCTCAAATCATATCTGAATTTGTTGCAGCCATATGGAATCTGCCATCCATCAATCACAAGCAAGGGGGTCTGATGGAGAACCAGTGTATCAGCATCTACATCAGGCTTCCCCCATCCAGAAAAAAAAAAAAAACGCAGCCTCTACACCTGCCTGTGTGACAGGTGAAGTGGCCGGGCAGGAGCTCGAACGCTGAGCCTGTGGTTTTATCAGGCTCAATATAACTAAGCTGCAGTGAGGGTGGAATGTGCGGAATGGACACTCTAGCCTCAATGCTAAACTCGATGCACAGAGGCCTCAAAGGGCTAACGGGTACATGGATTTGTCCCAAACACTTGTGAGGGCATGACAGATTTTTAAAGATTGTCAATGACACAACGCAAATCTAGTTAACAACTAACAATAAAATCTGTCAGCACAGTACAGGCAGAGTTAATTATGGAAAACGACTCACCTGCCCCCTCAAAAACATTGCATAGGAAGCGAGAACCAAGCAAAAAAAAAATTTGTCCTGGCATTTTTAATTTTTTAGTTATTTTTAATTATTTAGTTAATCACAAGTTACGCTGTGTGAATGGGAACATTTAACAAATATTAAGTAGGTGTTATACTAATCAGGCTGGAAATATGGAAATACACTTTAAGCTGGCCATACACATTAAGATCTAAAAATCTTTTGATTTCCCCTATCAATGCTAAACAGCGCAGATGGAAGAATTTCCCCTGCCAACTACTGTATTATCACAGCTGCCACCTGTGGCTATTAGAATACTCCTACAGTAACTGAAGATTGGCTACAGACACTGTTCAGCTGACAATTTTCTACCCGGTTCTTTTAACAACAACACATTTTTAAATTGACTTGCAAAGCTGATCAAATTTGGGCCAATTAAGTAGGAAATGGCTATAATTCAATTCGTGCATGTCCAGCTTTATGTCTACAAGTAATCAGCCAAAACTTTGTAGCAGGCCAGTAGCAGGAAGAGTATAACAATCGCTTTCCACTGTACCTGCAGATCTGCAATGACTTTTCAACCTTTCCAGCTGCCAGGGCTCTCAAGGCTAGTTCCGCACCAAGCTCTTGCTCTGTGACTTGTAGGAGCAAGGCAAGTCTGTATAACCTGGACTCTGTTGATGGCACTTTGGAATGATGATTAGCATTTGGAATCTGTTCTGTTGCCTTTTCAGATTTAGACATAGACCTTGTAGTCTCATAAGCGATAATATGCTCTGCTCTAAGATGAGACACAAACGATCGGTTTTCATATTCCTCTAGTGAAAGGAATATGTCAAAATCTCCCTGTAATAGGAAAAGGAACAAGTTATTACATAATGACTACAAAACATTCATAAAAAGGTAATCTGGGCTATTTTATTACTTAACTTAAATCTTATACTAGCATTATATTATTCCATCATCACAGTAATGGACATTATTCATGACAACTACCACTGGACTCCAATTCATTATTTTTTGTCCATTTTTATTAAGTGGAATGCTTTAGTATATATTAATTAGCAACCACTGTATTTTCTGCAGAGTACAACACAGCAACTACATTACCAATTGAACATTATTTACCTGCTTCTTACTAACAGCAAAGTTCAAAATATGTCAGCCATTGTATGTTTTTGTATAGAGCATGTGTATTCCCAATAGGCTGGTTTGTTTCTTCTAAGAAAACCAATAAAACAGATTGCCAACATATTGACCTTGCCTGTATTTAAACACAGTATATAAAATAGCACAATATGAAACACAAGGTCTTACCTGTAAACTAGAGATTGCTTCAAACATTTTTAAGTTTGTTTCAAAAATCTCTCTTTTTAACAGATTATCTAAAAAAGTAAAGATTTAATGATTTTAATAAACACATACTGAAAACAGAACAGACCATTTGAGTAGCTTATTTACAGAACTGAACAAAGTCAACTGGACAGAAAGAACATTTTTGGATACTAAACAAAACCAATATAACAGAGGGATGGCTGGTGATAGGTATGAATCGGGGAATTAGGAATGTTAGTGACCTAGTGACTTAACACATGCACACTTTTGAGCTTTGCATGGAAACACATACCTTTTATATGCAATTTTTTAAAAACGCTGTAGTGAAATGCATATACCGTATATACTCGAGTATAAGCCGTCCCGAATATAAGCCGAGGTACCTAATTTGACCAAAAAAAACTGGGAAAAAGTATTGACCCGAATATAAGCCGAGGGTGGGAAATGAGGCAGCTACTGGTAGATAGATACCAATAAAATTACATTAATATTTATTTAAAAGAAAAATAACCTAGCTCTGTAAGTGGAAAAGGGGGTACAGGGCTACATATCATGTACTACGGATCATTTAACCCATTCATATTAGCAGAGGATAATTGTAAATCTATTGTTCAGTGCACTCTATATGTAGTATATAGTACATGTACATATAGAGTGCCTGCAACAATACATTTACAATGATCCTCTGCTAACATGAATGGGTTAAATGATCCATAGATTTACATATATTTTTAAATCATTTATATAATTTTAAAAATAATTTTTATACTAAAAATTAACCCCTTACAATAAAAATGGGATTTGTTTTTCACCCTAAGGGGTTAATATTTTTTTAACCCCCTCATGACAGCGATGTTCAAAGTATGTCGCTGTCACTAAGGCCCCGTTCACACTGAGCGATTTATCGCGCGGTAATTCCCGCAATATCGCGGCTATTTACCGCGCGATATCTGCATCTCAATGGGGCTCTGTCGCGGGTCGCTACAGCGGGACCCTTTTTGGAGCGGATTTTGCCGCGATTCTAGGTTGCTCGATGCAACCATTTGCACGATATCGCGCAAAATGCAAATCGTACGACAAACGTGCGATTTGCGAATCGCTCAGTGTGAATGGGGCCTCAGTGTGACATTGTATGCCAGGAGACCACTTTTGGCTAGGTTTTAGTTTTAGGCCGAGTAGTACAGAAACATTTCTAAAATCCTAGGGATGTGACGTTTTTCCAAATAAATGAATGTATTTATTGTAATTTTTTTTAGCTGTGCTGTTTTTGTAAAAAATACTATAAATCAAAACTGGGGAAAAAGGTTTTTCTTTACGTTTTTTCCTCTTTGCTTATATTTTATTTGTCCTAAGTGAGGTGTCAGGTACCCATGTGTGATATAAATATATAGCCCTATCTGTCCTCTAAAAAATAATATATTATATGTGTGGGTACACTTTGTAAGAAAGTATATTACTGACGTGGAAGAATCACACAGCAAAAATTTAAAAAGTGCGTCAGTCATTTACGAACAGAAACGAAAAACAAGCTCAGTCATGAAGGGGTTAATTGGTACAAATAGGTCTTGGTTATTATAACATTAATGGGGCTTTTATGATCAGGTTTGTTCTAATGCTGCTCATTTTGTCAGTCATTTCAGCTTTATAAAAGCACCTTTAAGCATTATTGATAAAATGAAAGCAGTGGCACAGTAAAACTCCTTCTAGAGATATGGGAATATACAGATATACCTCACAAATTATTAAAAAAATATGGTTTTCAAGATAAAAAACCCAGAAAATACCATCATAATATTTTTAATTGGTGTTCTAAAAAAGGTAAAAGGGAATGCAGTTGCCAAAACAAGAGCAGAGATAGTCTTCCAGGGGTCCCAGTAAGGTTGCATCCCATGCTTCTGTGCCACTGGAATAATAGGATTTTTGTACTCACCATAAAATCCTTTTTTCTCAGTTCATTGAAGGACACAGGGAACAGATCGTAGCTCATGAACCGTAGGGATGTCACAAAGCAGTAACAGAGAGAGGGGTGGGCACAAAACCAATATTCCCAACAGAGACCCCACTAAAGGATCACCTGCAAAACCTTGCGCCCCAAGCCAGCATCCACCTTATAAAACTTGGAAAAGGTGTGAACCGAAGACCAAGTAGCGGTCTTCCAAACCTGAGAAACAGAGGCACCATGACGAAAAGCCAAGATGCCACAACAGCCCTAGTAGAATGGGCAGTAACAGGAAAAGGGGGGGATCACTCCCCGTAATGGCATACGTCTGCAGAATTGTGTTACGAATCCATCGAGAGAGATGGTAGCCGAAGGGCCATCAAACAAACCACAAAGAATCAGACTCACGGAAAGAAGCAGTAGCATCCAAATAAACACGGAGAGAGTGCAAACCTCATCCAGACAGTGCAGCACTCTCTCCTTCCTATGAACGGGCTTCGGGCATAGAGAAAGCAATGCGATGTCCTCATTCAGATTAAATGCTGAAACAACCTTAGGCAGGAAGGATGGCCGCGGACACAACCTAGTCTCTATGAAGGACCAACAACGGCGGCTTGCAAGACAAGGCCGCCAACTCCGAAACCCTGCGATTGGAGGTGATCGCCACCAAAAAGGCCATTTTTTGGAATAAACTTAGAAGCGTCTCAAAAGGCTCAAAAGGTAGAATCCTGCAGAACTGAGAGCAACAAATTCAGATCCCATGGTGGCAAGGGAGACCGAACAGGAAGAACAATACATGTAACCCCCTGAACAAAGGTGTAAACCAAGGCATTTGACGCCAAAGGTCGATCAGCCAATCTGGGGCCACGAGGATGTCTTTCGCTGCTATCCTGCGTAGAAGACACAGCAAAAGATACAGCGGAGGGAAGACTGCAAGGGTCCTACGAAGCCACCAGGGCATCCACCGATTCCACCCATGGATCCTGGGCCCGGGCTATGAACTGATCAACCTTCGGGTTGAGACGAGACCCCAGGAGGTCCACATAAGGCACCCCCCCAGCAAAGGCAGATCTGATGAAAGATTTTCGGGTGCAATGACCACTCCCGAAGGTCCACCGACTGGCGACTGAGATAGTCGACCTGCCAATTGTCCACTCCCGGAAAGTACACCGTGGAAAAAGCGGGAACATGCTCCTCCGGCCCGAGAGAATCCCTGGCCACCTCCCGCGCGGCAGCCACGTCTCTTGTGCCATCTTGGTGGCATGATGTAAACCATGGCCGTGGCGTTGTCCGACTGAACCTGAACCAGCAAGCCCTTAAGACGGCCCGCCCAATGATGGAGAGACAGGCGAAGCTCCAACACGGTGATCGACAGACGAGACCCCTCCAACAACCAATGACCCTGCGCTGCCCAGGAGCCCAGGACCCCTCCCCAGCCCAGAAGGCTGGCATCCGTGGTGACCACTGTCCAGCGCAGGGGTAGGAAGGATTTCCCCGACACAAGAGCCGGAGACCGAAGCCATCAAACGAGGGAAACTCTCGTCGCCCGAGACACACGAAACCTCCCTGTCCAGCGACAAGGGAGACTTGTCCCACTGCAACAAGATGTGCCTCTGTAGAATCCTGGTGTGATGCTGTGCTAAGGGCACCGATTTGAAGGAGGCCAGCACCTGCATGCAGAAGCAGATAGTCGACCACTGACAAGACAGTAATAGCCTCACATGTGAGCAAAGTTTCAGAATTTTTCCCGGAGAGAGGAAAACCCGGGGCAGAACACCAGCCAGGACTTCCGGAAGTTCAAAATCCATCCAAACTCCTCCAAGGACCGCAAAATCCACCACCAAGATCCAGAGAGGAATGCGACTCCGCCTTCAAGAGAAGGTCGTCCAGATACCCCACAAATCAAGATTCTCCCAACAGCATAACAAACGTCAGAACTGGGGCCAACAACTAGGTGAACACTCGAGAGGCCGACACCAGACCGAAAGGCAGAGCCACAAACTGGAAGTGCCCTCCCACTGCAAACCGAAGATAACGCTGATGGGAATGACAAATGGGGACATGAAGGTAGGCTTTCTTGATGTTTATAGAAGCCAGCAGATCCCCGTGACGGAGACACTCCACAACAGGTCGGATAGATTCCATCTGAAACCTGCGGACCCGCAGGTGTTCAAAAGTGTGAGATCCAGGATTGGCCGAATCACATCTTTCTTGGGCACGGTAAATAGATTTGAATAAAGTACTTTGAACCTATCCGAAGGCACCGGAATGATCATCCCTTGAGGCAAGAAATCCGCCACTGCGCGGTGAGGATCCGCGAGTCGTTGTGGAAAGAGGAGCGTGTTGGAAGGTAAAAAAGCTGTCCCTGGTATGAGGCAAACTCCATCTTGTAACCAGCTCCCGTACCCAGGTATGGGATGTGACGGACTGAACCGTCACTGGGGCTGCTGGAGGAGCCTGAGGGCTAGCCTCCTTCCTAAGGACTATGGACCCAGAACTATGGAGACCCCCTCAGACCTCTTGGAGTTACATGGAACCATTCTCCTATGATATGTGTGGAGTGGGTATACTCCAGGTTTACCCCGACAATACAGACACACACCACTGTGTTCAGTAAAGGCAGCAGGCTGTCTGGAAGGGCCATTGTTTACAGTGATGGGATTAAGCTCTTCTCTAATTAAGACAATCCAATGCGGCACCTAGCTGTCTGGGAGAGGGGGCTGTTCCATGTAACAATGAATGCTTATCTGATTGTGTGAGGTATAAATTCTGTGTGCTCTTCCTCAATAAAGCAGTTCTTGATTTACTCTTCAACATTGGTTTTGTCAGATGATTGAGGGGGTTTAACTTTCTGTCCTAATACATTGGTTTTGTCCAATAATTAGGCAGGTTTGGGCTGAGGACACTGGAATTCGGTTTCCAGCGGAGAGGAAGCTGATTTTCTGATGGAGGTACCAGTCAGGGTACCAGGCAGTCCATCACATGGGAGATGCGAGCCAACCAAAGATCCGCAAAGAACCGAAGACGAACCCCCACCCTGAAACCTAGAGATGGGGCAGGCCATCATGCGGAAGGGGGCATGGAAGACTTAGGTTGCCAGGGATGCTTGGTGGACTGGGAAGGGGAACTTTCCGCCCTTCTCCGAGGACGGAGGGGGAGGAAAAAGACGTGTTTGAGCGGAGAAGGAAGGACCTAGCTTCTGACGTTGTTCCTTAGGCTTCCTAGCTTGAGGCAGAACAGTACTCTTGCCGCTTGTCAGATCCTTAATGATCTCATCCAGCATAGCTGCAAACAAGTGATCCCCTGTAAAAGGAAGTTCCGTCAACGCCTTTTTGGAAGCTTGATTAGCCGAATTGCAAACATACTTCAGGCCCTGCACTAACTGGTCTGCCAGCTCAACATAGGCGGGAGAAACGCTTTCTACAGCGAGGCCCTGGTGCAACATCTTCGTCCATTCCGTCAGGGTCTGAGAGACCAAAACCGGACGCATTAAAGAGCACCCGAGACGGAATACATAGTCAGTGAAACAGCCTCGGCCTTCCCATCAGTGGGATCCTGAAAGGAAGGAGAATCTTTACTGGAATGACACTAGCCTTGTTCAGGTGCGAGACCGGAGGATCCACCGTCGGATGAGACGCCCACTTAGTCAAAAAAGACTCCCCCAAAGCATAGCGAACAGAGAAACGCTTAGGCACAAGACTTAGTCGCTTCCACTCCTTGTAAATGAATTAGACAATGAAGGAGATGTAAGGGAAGACCCTAGTGGAGCGCCTATTCTTATGCACCCCAAACTGAACCGGCAGCAGCATGTAGGAACTCGGAGTGTCCTCAATCTTGAGCGCCTCCCTGACCGAACGGATCAGAGCGGAGACCAATTCGTGTTCCTGAACTGTAAGTGAGGCCTCTGACTCATCCTTACTGCCCGAATCCAGCTGGGAAGAATCCCCAGGGTCAGGGTGAGTCGACACCCCAGAAATCTTACCCTCCTCTTCCAAAAGAACAGGAGAAGGCGACGACAGAGTGCGCTTCCTAGGAGGCATCTGCGTCAACGCGCGCTCAGTGTGAGTCATAAAACCGTCCACAGGGAATGAAAACACTTCTAAGGACATGGCGGTACCCACCCCCCACCGAGGACCCCAAGGGGAGAAAGGGCAACTGTAAAGGGGCGCAGGCATACAGGCCGGACATAGAGGGCAAAGGGAAGAATCCGCCGAAGGAGGCCTGCAGCCCTCACAAGGAACCGCAGACGGCATGTCCCTGTGGTCCACGGCCACCGTCCACAGACTCTGAACACCCCAATACACTGAGACCGCAGCAGGCAGAGGGGGACCCCAGCAAAACTCACCATCCCTGGCACAGCTGTCCTGAAGTCCCAGCACATGTACTCCAGCAGCCTGGATCAGCAGCAGATCTGCTTCCGACCGAAGGTGCCTCCACGGCGAAAAAGACCCCCCATCTGCCTGTCCCATCGGAAGTGACGTTATGAGGGAAGGGCGTGGCTGCCCTCAGCCAAAATGGCGGCTGCGGCTTCAAAGAGAAACAAGCATGGGGCCACTGCGCTACTCTCTCCCGCGCCGCGGATCGCCTACATCCTGATCCCCCAAGTCCGACAGACCGCAGAGAGACCAGGGTCGACAGCCCGCTCCAGGCACACGAGGCCACCAAGAAGGAAGAGCAAGGCCGCGGCATGAGAGGAACCCGCGGCCCCCAGCAATACTGTACACAGATCGGATCCTTCAGTCACCTCCAACCATGAGGTTCCGGTAGGGATGCCCTCTCAGGGACGGCGGCAAGCACTCAGAGACCCTCCGCACAGCTCCAGGCAGACCCTCGCATACAGTGATGTATCCGACTGTTGTAGGGAACTGAGTATTTTGCAAAAGTTCTGCAACTTAAACCTGTGTTTTTAACAAGTTAGCTAGTGGCATTTTTTTGCAGGCTAGCTGTTAAGTGTGCTAGTAAATGTTTGTTTATGTACTTTGTAGAACAACAGCACACACACGTGACTGATGTCTATAAAAGGGCAATCCCCTCTGTTTAGACTCAATGCCGAGAGGTCAGGCAGTTGAAATTTGTGGAAGTCAGTGAGAAAAAAGTTTTTTTTGTTTTTGTTTTATTTATTAGCAGCTTTTAAAGCCTACCTCCCGATACAAAAAATCTCCCCTTGCAGTTGGGAATTTTTGCTTTTGCAGTTTTTTTTGCAGTTTTGCTTATCTGCTCCCCAGGTGCTCACATCTCTCTCATCCGGCTGTACAATGTCCCTCAGCGTCCTCACGCAAAGTCCCCATATGTTAACTTAGTATACCGTATATACTCGAGTATAAGCCGAGATTTTCAGCCCATTAAACTTTGCAAATTCTACATTTTATAAAACTACAGGAATTTAACACAGAGCAGATGACTTGTCTATGAAAACAAATAGCGCAACACACCTTTAATAATGCACACACTGAACTTGAGAATGTCCACAAGTAAACTTGCAATCCTTTTCTGATCTTCCTTGCACTGAAACAAATTTTCATAAAACAAAACATTATCGGCAGAAAACGATTTCACTGTAAAAGTGTGCAACTCTGTTTCAAAATGGTTAAAGGATTTTTGCTAAAATGAGTTCCTAGTGTATGAACTTTGACTGTTGTAGGGAACTAAGGCCCTTTTCACACGGTCCGAACAGGAACGCCTGTCAGTTTTTTAGGCGGACCCAATCTGATGCCCAATGCAAGTCTATAGACAGCCGTGTGTAAATTGACAAAAGGTCCGTTAACACCAGGTTATCCCCGCCTCTGGCCGGGTTCGTAAACTCAGACAGCTCAGAAATCCATTTCACCAGACTGGATCAGGGGTAATCTGATGTAAATGGCACATTTCCGTTTACATCAGATTCCCCATAGACCAACATGGGGTATGGCAGTTTCTGTTTTTTTTCCCTCCGTCACAAGGTGGAGGAAAAAACTGTACGAACACGGATGTCACAATGGTGGCATCGGAGAGGATCTGTGCACGGATCCTCTCCTGATCTGCCCATGTGAAAGGGGCCAAAGAATGCAAGCGTCACTGAGAAGGATGGATCAGTGATGTGAAATGAAAGTAAACATAACAAAAGAATGGTTCCTAGTAAACGACATAAATAAATAACAAAAGTAAAGTAATCCACTGAAAATACCTCCTCAGATGAGCCTGGACTCTCCTGCAATGAAATTCTTGCCCACAGAGACAGGCGCTCAACTGTTATTTCTGCTTCGGACTGAGAAATAGACTTCAAAAGATTCAAGCATTCATCCCCCTGTAGATGCAATATTTGTTTAAGTGATGAAAATAAATATTTATAAAAAAGTGATAAATATAGATAACAGAATACCAATCATGAAGACCTGTGTACACTTTTCTGTTACTTATGAGACTTTCTACTATAACAGAAATTAAACAGTTTAGTTCCAATTTCTCATTGGTGTTTCAAAAGTCTAATGATTCTAGTGTGTGAAATAGCCTATATATAAGAAAACCTTAGAGCAGTTTGATTATTAGGTCAGCAATGGATGACAGAAATGGTAGTATGTCATTAGGCACTCTGAAGTCTCAGACCTCCTTGACCAACAGGTTATAGAATGATCACCGTTTTGTCTTGGAATTAATCTGGTGCCAAGTGTGTTGGATCAGTGCAAAAACTTGAACCTGCTTTCCCTCCACCTTTCCCTTGAAGTGTGCTTTAGCTAGTAAAATCATAGTTCATACCCAGATGCTTATCTGTCAGATATATGAAAGGATCAGGGCTTGAAAAATGTAGGGTGTCTAACCAGTCAGCATGACCGGACTATAGCCTTGTAATTTATGTTAACATTTTTCAGGGACACAGAGCTTTCTTTTGGTGGTATTTAATCACCACTGGGGGGGGGGGGGGGTAGTTTTATTATAATGAAAAAAGTACCGTCAATTTCTGGGAAAAAAATAAAAATGTTTTCACTACGTTATGTTAAATGACATTTTATTCCTACCCATATATTTGGTAAAATATAAAAGATGGGGTCACGTCGGGTTAAATAAAACAAATGGCAAACGCACTTAAAAAGATACCAAACATGCCAATCCTTAAAATTGCGTGTGCAAAAAACTACTGTGATTTAAACGCTTTTATTGCTCATCAGTTTAGTGTTATCAGTAACTGATGGGCCTAAAATGATTGCTCTCATTCCGACATTCGCGGTGATATGTAACATGTGCGGCACAAAAGGCGCAATCATCGTTTTCACGCGTAGGTTTTTTAAATTTTTTTTATGCTTCTTTCATTTTTTTTTTATTACTGTTTTTTACACTTCACTTTATTGTCATCACATGGGGGGCTACAAAGCCCCCTATGTGATAGACAATTTACATGACATGTCCTCTTTATGGAGACATCAGGGGGTCTCCCAAAACCCTTAATGTCACCTAGGGACCCCCAGAGAAGCTGATGAAGCAGAGATCTGCTTCACCAGCTTCTGAAGCTGGAGAGTGACAGCAGAATGCAGAAGTGATGTAATGTACATCACTTCCTGCATTCGGGGACTGGAGAGGAGATCAGTGTACCAATCTCCCTTTGATCTCCTGTCACAGAGCAGCCGTGCCGGTCCCGGCTGCACCGGGCACAGCGGATATCGGGGCCGCAAAGGCAGTAACAGAGACGCCCGATCGCTTGAATGTAAAGCTCCCAGCCAACCGTTTAATTACAACGGCCGGCAGATTTTTCAAGCCCTGGAAATGATTGAAGATACTGGTAGTGTGTGTTGCCAAAAATTGCACACTTGACTAAAACATTTCATGCAGGTTTATGTTATCATTGTTTTACAGCATGAACAATAGGCTAGCCTTTGTTTAACTACCTCCCGGCCAGCCGCTGTGTATACACGGCCTGCCGGGAGCTTCTTGGAACTAAGTAAGCAATTTACTTCTTGATTAAAAAATCATTCTCAACCGGTTAAAGAAAAATGTGTATGCGAAGTTGAAAATTATTTAAAAGTCTTAGCACAAAATTTGTTCATATGAGTTGCAAATGTAATATTATTGGTTACCAAGATGCTAAATACAAAGTTACAATAAATATACTGGTACTGATTAACTAGTCAAAGAATATCTAAAACAGTTCAGCCAATCTATTGATCCGGGCACTATTGCCAGACACAATATTCAAGATTCTAGACCTCTACTCTAGCAGCAAACTGGTTTGACCAATAAAAAACCCTAAGGTTTCTGACCAGACCATGGAGCAGTGGCATGCTAATGAGGTCATGCCTCTGCTCCTAATTTCAGTCAGCCTGTGCACTACAGAAGACCCGGGAGGAGAAAACTCATGACGCTTCTACTAAAGTAAACATTATCTTTTACCAAAAACATTATCTTTTCCATGAATGAGTTGAAAGTTTATCACACTGAATGAAGCAGCCCATTAAAATCGGTTGACTTGGTATTGACTGTTTCAGAGTCTCATACTGTATTTTTGACATTTCTGACCCCTGCACCCAAAATAAGAGATACTATCTGCTTGGGATCCAATTCTAACATAAATTGTGTGTATATTTGCAACATTGTTATTTTTGTAGGTGGAAATAGTATTTTCTAATTAACGGTCACCTCATCAAAACTACTGTTTCAACAAACCTATTACTAGCAGATTTTATTTTGTAAGACTGACATATAACATACGTTAATTATATTTCAGAATTATGAATATTGAAAACAGGACACTTACCCTGTTCATATAAATTAGCTGCACAAGCCTAAAGATGTAAATCTCTACTGTGGGCAGTTGATATGCTTCAGCAATTTTCAAAGCATCTTCCAAAGATGAAGGGGAATCTTGCTTCAGGATGTACTTGATTAAACCCTTCAATAAAAAGGAATGATTAAAAATTGTTTTGGATAGAAAAGAGTAAATCTCTTTAGACTGACCGCTGCAACTGTGCAACCCATTCTTTTTTATTAGGTTGCTCACCATTATACTTTTGTCATGGGGAAAGTTAAATGCCCTAATTCCGTAGCCTCGCAAAAGATTGTTCATCTCCATAAGTCGGTAACTTTCCTGCAGTAATTTCACCCTAAGAACAAATTAAATACATTTCAAATTAAAATAAAATAAAGAAAAGACAGCATCGTGATATCAGTATCTTGTACGGATAGTGGTTATTAATCTTAAAAGTGTATGCCTGGGCAAAAAAAAAAAAAAAGAAGTACATTACTGCGGTACATGTAAAACAGGAATTTTGTCTTACCTGTTAAATCCATTTCTTGGAGTACTGCGTCTTGTGATGTACTCAAAGAAAACAAATTTTACAGTTAAGTCAAAAATCCTGTTTCTTGATTGTACTTTACGGGACACAGGGAGTTTTCTCTCCAACGGATGGGACATCCAAAAGCAGCTTAACAGAGGGAAGGCAAACTCGCAAACAATGGCTAAAAGTCCTATGCAAACAACCACCACTAACCTCAACAGGAAACTAGAAGGGGCCCACATATCAGAGGTTCAACTGAAGAACCTTGCAGCCTAAGCTAGCACCCCCTGGGTGCTTAAAGGCCATGTGGTAAAGCTTGAAAAACATTTGAACAGAGGAACAGGTAACAGCCTTGCAGATTTGAGAAACTGAAGCCTGATGCTGGAAGGAAGTACTAACACTCCTTGTAGAGTGGGCCCTAATTGGAAAGG